CCAAATGATTTTTCCCCTTTATTTTCTTCTAAAACAGCCCAACCACCTGTTGAATATGCATTTCAAATTGTATGATTTACGAGATTTTTGTTTTCAGTCTCAGTGTTCAGCATCTACAAAGCAACAAGAGTTGTATGACAGCACACTGGATTTTGAACTACCACAAAAGACCAGGTAATAAATATGTTCCACAGGCATCTTTTTTAATTCACATTGTGTGGTCCGAAAGTTTGAGACTGAAAACTCAGTCTTCAAAAAGAATCATCTAAGTTTGGAGTTGAAAAATTTGATCTTTCCTCCAAAAAATATGCTTTAGTGAAATATTTTCGAAAGTATGCTTTGAACAAAACTATGTATTGCATGTAATAAAGAGAATAAACCAGTTCAAATGATTATTTTCATTTCTTGAATCATCAAGTTGATGAATGATCTTATTTTTTTCCACAAAATTTGAATGTGAGTCACACACAAAAACTGTAAAGAATAGTCCTCAGCCAATAATTAGTAAAATAACAAAGAAAGATGTTTCTAATTCTTTAGCACAGGTGGTAACCCAAACCAAAATGAATGAAATTATTAATTTAACGAATAATGAAAAATCTCCAAGTAATTTGAATTTGGATCAAGATGGATGGAGGGAAACAAAGAGAAAACGTAGGAGAAACGTTATTATTGGAAAAAATAGCACCGAGATTGTCAAGGGTGTGCCAAAATATATCAATTTGCATGTGTATAGACTCAAGCCTGGAACGAAAACAGATGAGCTAACACATCTATTAAAATCTAACTTTCCAGAAGTTGCCTGCGAATCACTGAACTCGAAATTTCCAGAACTCTACTCCTCATTTAAGGTCACAATAATGGAGAGCCACTTCCGAAAAGCCATGGATCCATCATTATGGCCTTTCGGAGCTTGCATTAGTCGTTTTTTAGAGAAACGGAAGCAGGAGCCTCAAATAGGATAATGTTTGAACCCAATATATTTTTACTTAATGTAAACACACTTAGTAGTTCCAAAATAAATTATATAGAAAGCGATATCGATCAGCTAGCAATACCATTTTTATGTTTAGTAGAAATTGGTGTACAAAATGAATCTCTTGATCTCATGCATATTAATGGCTACAAATTAGTGAGTTCGTATTGCAGACCCACAAAAAAATGTGGAGGTGTTGGTATTTGGTCCAAGGAAAACATTCGTGTGAATAAACTCAATATCCAGACATTTTGTGTTGAACAGCATTTTGAGATCTGTGGTGTCTCTTTTAAAATTGGTGAACGCCAAAATATAATATTGACGTGTTACCGATCGCCTTCTGGTGATGAAAAAATATTTTTTAGTAAAATATCAGCAGTGCTTGATTATCTGTATAAACCAAATACTGAATTTATTGTATGTGGAGATTTTAATTTTGATTTGTATAAAAATAATCATTTTAAATATTTATGTAATGTTTTGTCAGGTTTTAATCTTACTCCAATAGTTCAGTGGCCTACTCGAGTGACTAATGACACCTGTACTATTATTGATCAGATTTTTATAAGCTCACATGACAGTGACACTTGTTGCGTTACAGACAGTACAATTTCAGACCATAGGACTGTACTAGCCGAATTGAAATCACTGAGGCAATGGGGGACTATCTCCAAGGTATCGAAAGTGAAAAGAAGTTTCAATGAAGGTAATATTAGTAATTTCGAATATTCTTTAGGAACAGAAAATTGGTCATCCCTTTATGATATAGAGGATTTTAACGAGGCATTTGATCATTTTTACAATATTTTCTTATCACATTTTGAGGTGAATTTTCCCAAACGAAAATGCTACATGTACGATAAGAAAAAAAGCTGGGTAGATGGTAGCGTAGTATCTTCGAGCCGCAACCTGAAAGATTTATTCACTCTTAAAACATGCGATGACCGTTTGACACCGGTTTACAATGAAGCTAAGAAAAAGCACTATGCTCTATTGAATGCGAGAAAAAAGAGTTTCTATCAAGAACGCATAACGAATTCCGATGATGTTATACGTTCTTCATGGAATGTTGTAAGGGAACTCACAAACAACAAAAAGAAACCTAAGGAAATTTTCATTAGAAATGATGGTGTTGTCATAAGCGACCCCAATACTGTAGCTGCAAAATTTAATAATTTTTTCGTTGAAGGAACTACTGATTTGATGAATGATATTCCATCAGTTAATCTCACATATTTCAATGACTTTAATGTGAAAACTATGTTTCTGAATCCAGTGTCCGAGGAAGAACTTTTAAAAATTATTAATATAAAGATGAAAAATAAAAAGTCAGCAGGGGAAGATGACATCCCAGCATTTCTTTTGAAAAGAATTATGCGAATTATTTCTGAACCTATTACATATTTAGTGAATAAATCATTTGAAACTGGATGTTTTCCCCAGAATATGAAAACTGGAAAAGTGTTGCCCTTATTAAAAAAAAATGATCCCACCCAATTGGGGAACTATAGGCCTGTTACAGTACCAAATAGTTTCTCAAAGGTGTTTGAGTATGCTTTCCTAGATAGACTCACATCGTTCTTAGACCAATTCAACATCTTAACAAGTAAACAGCATGGATTTCAGTCGGAAAGGTCAACGTCAACCGCTATGTTTTCATTTTATAAGCAGATTGTTGATTATGTTGATGCAGGCGAATGTCCTGCTGCAGTTTTCTGTGATCTCAGCAGGGCATTTGACTGTGTCAATCATAAAAAGCTGTTGACTAAATTGGAAATGTATGGCATGAGGGGTGTATCCTTATCGTGGATATCTTCTTTTCTAGAACACCGCAAACAATTCGTTTCATTAGAAACTTTCTCGGAAAATAGAGTTCAACAATTCAACTCAGGGAATCTGATATTAGAAATGGGGGTACCACAAGGCTCAATTTTGGGCCCTGTGCTTTTTATACTCTACGTTAATCAACTCGATCATTTCATTGGCGATACACATTATACTGCATATGCAGATGATTTTTCATTCATTATATCGGCAGCAGAAACCCATGCACTTGAGAACAAATGCTCAGAATTGATGACCAAAGTTTCTGATTATTTCAATGATAATAGTTTGTTTTTCAACACCAAAAAAACAGAAGTTTTAAGAATTCATCATAGCCAGAAGAGGGTCGATGATTTGGTATTTAATATTGATAATAGTCCAGTGTATAGCATTCATAGCTCGATTAGATTCTTAGGCATCAATCTAGATGAGAATCTAAACTGGAAAGATCATTGTAAAAAAATTGCATCTAAGTTATCTTCTTTGAAATTTCTTTTCATCAATCTGAGAGATGTACTGGAGATGAATCAGATGTTAAATTTGTATTATGCACAAGTAGATTCAAGATTGCGGTACGGTATCTGTTTTTGGGGAAATTCTACTGATGTATCAAATGTTTTCATTGCTCAAAAAAGCATTATTAGATGCATTGCAAAAGTCTCACGTAGAGTATCATGTAGAGAATTGTTTATCAAATACAATATTTTGCCTTTGACATGCCTATTTGTATATGAATTAGGTATTTATGTGTTTCAAAACAAGCAAACATTTCCACTAAATGAACATTTTCATAATTATAGCACTCGACAAAGAGATCATTTTCATGTACCATTCTCCAGAAATGAAATATCATACAAGTCACCTGATCATATGGGTTTGAAAGTATTCAATAAGTTACCAGACTATGTAAAAGCCAGTAAATCATTGACTAACTTCAAAATCAAATTGAAAACATTCTTAATTGACAACTGTTTTTACAATATGAACGAATTTTTTTCAAGCACTGTTTGAGTTTATTTATTATATTTGCTTTGGTCTTTCTGAATATATTAGGGTTCGGAAAACTTTTGAACTGTAAATAGTATCTTCTTCTTCTCTATCTACTATTGTATATACCTACTTTCAAAATGACTGTACCAATACAATGTAAATTGTCTAATGGAAATGAATAAATGATGATTATTGAATTCATATTAAAACAGTAATAACATGTTTTACATAGTGTTGAAAAGGAATATTCTCAGATAAATTATGAACATACAAAAATGGATATATATTTATATAAAGCAATACATTGAGAATTCGCATTCTCTATGTGATGAGAATATTTACTCTTTCTCAGTTGATTCAATAGAAAACAACTACTTTCCTGGCTATATGCCACGACGAACATTGAATTATATCCATTGAACACACACGATAAGAGTTTGAAAATAAAATATAAAAACTTCTGAAATTGAGAATTTGCATTCCCCTTCAGATAAAAATATGTATATGCACACATCATTCTGAATATTCAACAGAAAACAACTACTTTCCTGGCTATTTGCCTCGTCGAACATTGAATTATATCTGATGAACATTCAAAAGGAGAACATGAAAAATGAAGAATAAAATCCTCCGAAATTGAGAATTGACATTCTTCTTCAAATGTTCATCAGATATAATTCAATGTTCGACGAGGAAGCCAGGAAAGTAGTTGTTTTCTGTTGAATATTCAGAATGATGTGTGCATATACATATTTTTATCTGAAGGAGAATGCAAATTCTCAATTTCAGAAGTTTTTATATTTTATTTTCAAACTCTTATCGTGTGTGTTCAATGGATATAATTCAATGTTCGTCGTGGCATATAGCCAGGAAAGTAGTTGTTTTCTATTGAATCAACTGAGAAAGAGTAAATATTCTCATCACATAGAGAATGCGAATTCTCAATGTATTGCTTTTTATAAATATATATCCATTTTTGTATGTTCATAATTTATCTGAGAATATTCCTTTTCAACACTTTCATACCCAATCAGGGGGTTCAAACTTGAACGATGGAAACTTGTGATTTTTATAGACTTCTAATCGCAGATTCATGATAGAGTCTCAATTCAGAATTTCATTCCACGCCCTGTATGATGAATGTCAATTTATCATACACCCAAAAGCATGTTTTACATAAATTATTAATTGAAATTGAACACCTACAAATCAAGAATCAGGAAGTATATTTTTGCATCATTTTATAAAAAATGGTGGTTATGCTAATAGATGAGATTCAAGTGATTTTACATAATTCATGAATATTATATTTCATTTATAATTATTAATCATTGAATTAATTCATTACTTGAAATTGAATCAATGAATTGGAACTGTTGAATTTCTTCAATTTCCTACTCTTTTCAGAAACTATCATTCGTTTTCTAATGAAAACATCTGAGAAACTTATCAAAAAAATATTGAAAAGTAATCAAAAAATGTATTTTCTTGCTGTTTGTTTCTCTAGCTTCAACAGCCTATGTCTCCTGAAATATTTGGAATTGTCTCGTAATAAAACAATGTTCAACTCAAAGATATTCAGTGAAATGCAAAATGTTTAATGGAAATTTTTTCTTAGGGTCCATGTAGCTTGGAACCAGTTGACTGAATTTCCAGAGGCCCTAGGATGCAGCATTAATAGAAAAACTAAGTGCCGTGATATATTTTAACTTGTAGCTCTACTCATTATTTCCACATCAAAAAGTATTTTTGTACATAGAATTTACACCTCATTTTAGTTTTTTAGTTACATAAGATCATTTATTTATTTTGTACAATTTACTAGTGTCATCTCGTTTTTAATTGGTTAATTATTAATAATGATTTTATATAATATACTGTCTTTTATTCTTCAACAAAATATAAACTTGAAATACTAACTTCAGGAAAAACTTATGGGTGATTCTCAATAATCTTTGACTTCATCCACAAATGAGTCTTCTTGAAGTTCCTCACCCTTTTCAATGTCTTCAGAAATCCCTGTATCAACTTGTTCAGCACTTTGTTCTTCAATGGTAATTTCTTCTGACTTTGTTTCTTCGCCTTTGCATTTTTTCAATGGCGGTTCTCCATAATTTTCATCTTCTTTTTCAGTTTCCTCTATGGTTAATACATTTTCGTCATCAGATTCTTCTAATTCGATATTCACTTCATTCAGTTTCACTTCATGATGTGCAATAGTGTTATCCAGTTCGATTGTGGAGTAATTCAAAACTTCATCTTTCAGAATGTTGATTTCAGTATTGAGAGTCAATTCTTGAGAGGGAACTAAAAATGGATTATCTATACTAATATTAAAAAAGGAAATATTTGATCTGGATACTGGATCGACATGGCTAAAAATTGGTGGGGAGGTAGCTTAGAACCAGGAGAGGGTTATAGGATACTTTTTATCCCAGTACCATAAGAAAATTCAAGATGGCGGATCTAATATATCGGACGAGTTTTGTAATTATGATTCGATTCTATTCATAATTGGTATCTGGGGGTTTTCGGGGTCGGATATCATGATTCTGTCGTCAGAATTTGAAAATTCGTGCGGAGTTTGGTAACTCAAGATGGCGGAACCAATATGGCGGACGAGTTTTGTAATTATAATCCGATGCTTTTCAAAACTGGTACCTAGGGGTTTTCGTGATCGGGGATTAGGATTCCTTCGTCAAAATTGAGAAATTCAAGATGGCGGATCCAAAATGGCGGATTTTGTGATTAGGATCCGATTTTATTCAAATTTGGTATCTGGTTGTTTTCGTGATCGGAGATTACGGATATGTTCCGTTAATCAACCGAGGTTACCGATGCTTTCCGGGCCGGTACCAACAATTTTGAGAGTGGTTATTTACTGGTAACTACGATTGTGGATTATTTACAGAATAAGAGTGTGTCAAATTATAGTTCAGATCATTTTTTAACATGCTCTGCCAGTATGATTTCCAGTTATGGCAACCTAATTCTTGTGCACAGTAAGCACAAGCAAAGGATGTACTGTTCTATAATGAAAGTAACATCATCAAATTGAAAATGTATCCATTATTAATTTACCTCAGCAAACGCATCCATCGGAACTTGATGAAATAACTGAAATGGGAATATTGTATTTCGTTGTAAAACAAAAAATCAAACCGTAAACTGAAACACGTTAACGTCAAGTCAAACTTACCAAACTCACCAGAGAAAATCGACGGTCATTCAAGGTCAAGGAATTTTCAATTGGTAGTACTTGGAGTATTTTGAAATAAAATGGATATACACTATGTATATGATGCATGTACATATCTCATATAAATTATGCAGGGTGTATCTGAATAACACCGAAAAAATTCAAGGGGTGATTCTGTGATGAAAATTTGAGTGTGATTTCAGTATAAATTTTTTTGATGAACCTCTCCCCGAAAAAGTTACACCCCTCCGAGGATTGATGAAACTAGACATTTTGGAATATTTCCAACCTTGAAGTATGCTTGCTAAGATATTTTTTTTTATGAAAAAATTCCTTCCATTGTCGAAAAGCCCAATTCATTTATCAACTTTTGTATACCAAAAAGTTCTTCGAAAAACTTCAGCATTTTCTATATTTTTAAAAGGAACATTTTGATCCAAAGAAGGTTGATGTAATTTTTCCTCCTACATATCTCCGTAACCGCTCATTTAGGAAAAAAGTAGTGGTAAACTTTTTTTTAGAATCCAATATAGATTATTTTCATGTGAGGTGACCGCAAACCTCAAAACTTTCAAAGTATAGGCGAGAAACTGCGAAAAAAACGACATTTCCCGTCTCTATACTACGTGTTGAGAGAAGTAGACGGATCAATTTGGCGCCGAGGTCAACTTTTTTTTATGTTTGGGTTTGAGTAGTTTTATGTTTTATTGTACTACCATGGAAATGGATAATTTCCCTGGAATTGGATATTGTCAAAAAAATTATGAATTATATTCTGGTAGAAACTGTGTTTACCAAATATTTGAGGTACTCACCTCGATGTTCTTCAGTTTTTGACTCATCAATTTCGTCTGGGCCATCAACTACTGCCTGGAGTACTTCAGACCCTTCAGCCACCTCATCTTCTTTTTCTGTCGGAGGTCTCACAACACAAACATCCAGAATATTCACTGATTTATTCAAGGATGTCTCCTGCTCCTCAGTCTCACACACCTCCATTGAAGTTTCCGGCCTCACAATACCGCCATTCAAAACATTCAGTGATTCCTCTTGCTCCACTTCCGCAGATTGGGTCACCATCTCCACAACCTCAAAAGTCGAATGAAGATCGATTTAATACTAATATCAAACTGGCTCAACGCACATAATAGTAGATTGTTTTATTAGGATCAAAAGTGACAATTTGTTTGACAAGCAAATTTTGCATTTGCGTGGCGAAGCGTCCAGCGAAGACGAGCGAGAGCGAAATTTGCGAGTCAAACAAAGTCACTTTTGATCCGAATGAAACATGGTATTTTTTCGGCAACCGAAAGAATTGACTAAAATAAATATGTGAAGTAAATACCAATGCCGTGTCATATGTATGCAATGCAACAAATAATCCGTATGGTGAGAATAGTCTACCTACATTAACAGATCAGGTTTATTCAATTTTCAAGGATGTTCGAATTGTGGTTTCGATATAAATACAACCACAGAGTGACCCATTTGTGTATGGACCAGGTGTTAGCCCTAATAGCAAATACCGCGCCAGTGCCAGGCATAGGAAAAATACGTGGAAAATGTGAGGTTACTGAGCATATCAACAATAATAATAGCGATTATTTATTCCTCCCCATACTCCACTGTATTTGGCTCGGTAATCAAATGAAGGTAAACAATATCTTTGTGTGAGACAAAAAAGTATTGCTGGCCGTGATTATTGAAAAACAAGTTATCCATCCCGAGAATAACGAATGAAATACAGATTAAGCAAGTATGTGAATCTTGAAGGCTTTCCTGATCGAAACAAAAATACTTCAACTCAAATATGGTGTATTTATATCTCGGAAACAAATCAGGTATGCGTCCCAACCCAAATAACCAGCCCTAACAATGTTGTTTATTCTTGATGACCTCTGGTACATCCTTTTTAATTCTTAGGAGCTAAAGTTCAACTGCCTAGCAACATACCTATGTTTGTGTAAGTAATAGAAACGTCAATTCAAGAGCTAATTTTGGAATTAAAATGGGCGACTTTTGTGTCGGTTGCAGAAAAATTCATTAATGTTGAAAAATCTAACTTTGTGTTTTTCTATACTAATATTATAGAGGAAAGCTTCGTTTTTTTGTATTGGAGATAACTTTTATGCCGGTACTATTAGGAAATCCATAATAGCGGATCCAATATGGCGGACGGGTTTTGTAATTATGGTCCGATTCTATTCAAGATTGGTATCTAGAGATTTTAGGGATCAGGGATTATGACTCCTTCGTCAAAATTAGGAAATTCGATATGGCTACTTCTTTATATCATTATATATTATATTGTAATATCTCTCCCTCAATATGTTATGATGGAATCCTATCCATTGATTGATCCTCTTTCTGTAACTGTCTCTATTAATATTGCAGAAAAAAATAGTTTATCAAGAGTCAGTTTTTAGTTCATATGTTCTCTCCGAAGTTCTCTCTAATAATTCAATCATGGTATATTGTGAACTGAGTGTTGTAATCCTTTTAGTAACGGGTATTTTGAACACTAGTGCAGCATTGAGCAAGAGGAGTTAGATACCATATTCTTTCTATAAACTCATTTTGGAAAGTTGGTTTCTCTCATCTCACAATTGATGTCAAAATTAGATTGACAGATCAATGCCTAGTCTTCCAGGTGCGTATTTTATGTGACCTAACCAAGGCATTCGATTGTGTCTCCCATGATATCCTATAAGAAAAGTTAAATTTCTATGGAATTAGGGGAATTGCCCACTCTCTCATAGAGTCCTATCTGAGAAATCGTCAACAATGTGTCAGTTTGAATCATGTCAAGTCTAACTACAAAATGATTAATTATGGGGTACCTCAAGGCTCAGTACTTGGGCCTTTATTATTCGTCATTTATGTGAATGATATCTGTAAGTACTTGAATCACAGCAAATGCACTTTGTTTGCAGACGATACATCATTCATAACCTCAGATAACACAATAACAAAGTTGTCAACCTCAATAGCAGAATTAGAAAACAGGGCTGAAGGATGGTTCTCAGCAAATAATTTGAAAATAAACAGAAATAAAACACAGAAATTACTTTTCTCAACGAAAAAAACTCCAGGTATTTGCTATGAACCAGAAAATAATGCAAAGTTATTAGGAATAACAATAGATGACAAATTAAGTTGGAAAAGTCATATTGAAAATCTGAGCAGCAGACTATCTAGCACAATATTCCTGTTGAGGCAATTGAAAACCATCACCAATTTATCTACAGTTAAAACTGTATATTTTTCCATGTTTCATTCTAGAATGAGCTATGGAATCATTCTTTGGGGCAACTCATCTTATGCCATTAATATTTTTCGACTTCAAAAAAAGGCATTGCGGATAATTGCAAACGCTGATTATCGCGAACATTGCAAACCACTCTTTATCAAATACGGAATATTGTCCCTCCCTTCACTGTACATTTATCAAACGCTCATTGAGATACACAAAAATGTTGACAGCTTCACCCGTCAGTCAGATATACATAAGTATCACACGAGACATGCTAACCATATTCAAACACCACGGTATAGATTAGTAAAATCCCAAAAAAATTGTATGAATATCCAATTATACAATGCACTACCGACCACAATAAAATCTACGGGAAATGGTAAGTTCAAATCAATAATGAAAAAATATTTCCTGCAAAAATGTTTTTATTCCATCGAAGAATATTTGCAAACAATTTGTGATGACATGAGTTTTTTTTCTTTTAAAATCTCTGAGTTCTGATAGCTCCTGTTTTTGATTGTGAGTCTTTGAAATTATATACCTATTTAATGTTATGCGTTCAAAAATTGGTGTGTCTATATACTATATACTTAATTTTATTTATACTTGTAAATGTTTGGAGGTATTTAGCCTATCTTGACTTGCTACCAATATATGTTATATATATAATGTAGTTAAATAAAGCTCTATCTCTATCTATCTATTCATGACTAATTAAACTATTGAAATCAAACAGTAGCACATAGTAATGCTTCTTATTAGCTCACTAAATGTCACTTTACTTATGTGAGTACTAAAAAATAGCTATTTATATATCAAGGGAAGAAAGGTATCCATTTCCTCCCATGATATATACCTACCTATATGATTTTATCAACGAGCGTATTCTTTTGACGCATCATTCTTAAAATTGTGCTTCAGGCTGCCTATCACTCGATCCGAATCGTTACGAAGGTATAGGATGCCATGGACAAATGACGGCATTTGAACAAAAGTCAATTTGATACTTATTTCATCATGAACTAATTGATCTGTATATTGTGTAACTGCATTTGAAAGTTTTGATCGAAAGTACGTTCAGAATATGAAGAAGTGAATGACATCATTGGAATTCAAAGAAGATAATTATTATAGTTACTTGTTTTATAATAGTGATACAGGCACTGATTACTTGGATTGCACAGATTTTATAGTTATATCGACGCCAAAGGATGCTTGTTGAAGCCAATTTTATTTTACCTCCCACGGAAGCTAATATTTTCTTCCTCCTGTGGGAGTCAATTGGCAACTTTGATTCCTTAAATGAGAGAGCAAACACCTACTTTCGATTCAGTGAGTAGATAAATATTATTACCTCTTCACTGAATACCTTCTCCTTTTGATCATCCCCCTGTCTAGCGGGGAACATGTCGGGCGAGTACAAAGACGGGCACACTGGCTGGCACAGCTTCTCCAGAACGCTCAGCCCCTTTTCGCATACGCTAGATATGTGCCTGTTGTAACTGTTGGCCCCTTTGTTCAGAATGTCCAGGGTGAGCTGAAGCGGTGGGAGGATGTCCAAAGTGTCTTGTTCGTAAAATGAGACCAGTACTTGGTAGAGCTTTGCCTGGCATTCAGGGTTGGTGTAAGGGTGGGATAGATTGGACGTGTTTATTTCGTTTAGGGTTCCTAACACAGAGGAATATACATCCTAAAAACAAACAAATCCTAATCATGAGTCTTGCAGTGGCGCAGCGAGGCGGGGTTTTAGGGGTTAAAACCAGACCCAGACCCAGACGCGAACTAGAAAACGTTAATCAAGTAATCAATCTAGGTAAAAAGGTAAAAAAAATAATCTTGGCAACTCTGTGTAATGATTGTGTCCCACAATTTATAAACTTCTAATAATAATGACAACCTTACAAGTCACCACGTGCTCTTGTGAAAAATCGTTTTCGTCCCTGAAATTTCTGAAAAAATATTTGCGGAATTCAACGATGACGACAGATCAAACGGTCTAGCCTTGATGTATATACATCCAGATATTCCTATTACGGAAGACGAAATTCTTGATGTCTCAATTTCAATATAATTGATAAGTACATTCAGATGGCATTTATAATCTTACTATGTTTTCTGATGATCTATGTTGTCATATTGTCACACACTGTTTGACTATGCCTATTCACTACCTAATTATTTTTTTTTGATTATATTTTTTCAAATGTACCTCATATGTACGTTACGTTTTGTATTCTATAATATATTCTCGTGATACTCTCCCTGATTTTTTTAAACCCCCCCCCTAATACAAAATTCTGGCTGCGCCACTGGAGTCTTGCACATATTTTCTTGAATTAAAAAGGAATATGTATATTTATACTAGTATAGGGTGGTAGGGTTCGTTGAAAAGCTACAAGGCGTTGAAATGCATCAGGACCAGGACGATATTTTTTTATAATTGTACAGGGTGACATTGAAATAAGTGTGCAGATATTTCAAACACTGAGAAAGCTCGACGTGTACCATCGAATGACACCAATAACAAAAATTTTGGGATCAAAATAAAATTTGAGGTTGGACTCCTTTTTCCACCGAAAGTTCTACACTGTAGCAAATCTGACGTCACCTCTGTTCAAATTTCCATGTGGTAGGCACAATCACGTGGAGTTCAATCATTTAAATTGTTTTAAAGTGTACTTGATTTTTTTCTCGTATTTTGTACAATTTTTGGGATGAAATTTCTCGTTAATTAGAAAAGAAAACTGATATCATGGGAATATTCATTGAAAGCATACAAAGTGGAATCCGAAAATGAGAGTTCATTATTTGGAGAATTTCAATGCATTTTTTTTTTATGAATTTTCATCAGAAATAATTGTGAATCATCAGAAGTTATTGTGAATTCTGGAAAAACAACTCACATTACACTTTTTCTTTTATATATATGTGATATCTTCACTGTCAGCATTGTGTATTTGCAATTTTAATAAATTTTATGAAGAGAGCCAACCCAAGAAGTAACCTTGAAATTACTTAAAATACAAAAATCCCATATAGTTTAAATGTAGTGCGCGCTATTTTACTTCACACTGTTTCGCCCAAGGTCATGATAACATTAGGAAAATGAAAAAAACATTAGGAGAATGAAAAAAACTGTCACTTCGCATACTGTAGTCAATGAGTGAACCTTGTCCTTTTTTGACGTTTGTAGAAAATAGTTATTTTTGTATCTAGTGCGCAAAATGCTACTAGTGATCGATACTGAATTTTTTAACGAGGCGCAGCCTTGTTAAAAAATGGTCGAGATCTCCAAAATATTCCACACGAGAGTTGCCAACAATAAATATTTGTTTTACTAGGCAGAAAAGTACAAGATTTAATGCCGCGGCTGGCGCTTCATAGCCTAGGCGTAGCCGAGGCTAGGAAACCAGCCAAGGCATTACATCTTTTTTCTGCCATGTGAAACATATTATTTTTTCTCCAAATTCTTTTGAATTCCACGCAAAGTACAAATAATCCATCATTTTTGTTCACCCAAAGTCATTGTCAATTTTGATTAGCAATTTGATTCAAATTACTTGGAACGTTGCATAGCAACAAACTTTTTCTGCCTAGGCAGTGAAAGTACACCTTTTCTGCCTGTTAAGTATCATTAAAAATCCACTTTTAATGTCATTTGGAGAAAATAGTTATTTGTTTTACTAGGCAGGACAGTAGTAGATGACAATCCACATTTACTGCTGTGTGAAACATATGATTTTTTCTCCAAATGTTATGAAATCCATTTTGTGCAGATTTTTTGTTGAAAACTACATCATTTTTGTTCACCCAATGTCAGGGTAAATTTTGATTACCAATTTTATTAGAATTTCTTGGAACATTGCATAGCAACAAACTTTTCCTGCCTAGGCAGTAAAAGTAAACCTTTAATGCCTGTTAAATGTCAGAGAAAAGCCACTTTCCATACCGCTTGGAGAAAAATACTTTTCTACCAACATAAAAAATATTCTATCAAAATAAGTAATATGCTTAGCTTGATATGAAAAATAGTGTTGAACTAGATTAAAAAGATTCAATTGTTGTTAAACATTCAGAAATGAATTATGTCTTGGATTTTTGCTTGATTGAGGACCATAAAGGTTTAAATACAAAAGTCTTATATAGATTAGATGCAGTGAGCCAAATATGTATTTCACATATATGGTGTCCTGGTAACATAGAAAAATGAAAAATTAAAAAATTTCACTTTTTGACCTTTGCAGAATAATGGTCAACAGGGAATTGCAATATTAAAGAGAGAAATAGATGATTCTTTCAGACATAAAAATCGTTTTTTTTTTAGGATTGAAGAATCAATAATTTCCATTGGAATTTAGAAGTCACCATATCATTGGGGCCCCAAAGAAAAAGCTGGGGAAAAGTTAGGATCAATTGGGATAGAAAAAAGTGCTTTTTTATTGCTTCATTTAATTCATATAGTTGAGAAAAAAATATGTACTCACTTTTAATAGTTCACTCTTGATTTTCAAATTAGAGGAAGTGAGTAGATGTTTCAGTGTATCTAAAGCCATTGAACAAATCTTTTCATCTCCGATTTTCTCTGCTTCAGTTTTATGCCTACAATATTAAGTGAATGTTTTGTTCATGATTGTTAACCACTTTTACAGTTTTGAAAAACTTACAGACTACCATTTTCTAGTCTACCAGCAATAATTCTTTCAGTTACAGCTTTGTGTTGTGCTTTTTTGGATTTATTTTTGTCTGTAGCCGAAATTATCTGAAATTCAACATTTGATATAAATGAAAAATCAAATAAATTTACAGTAATAATTGATAAGACTGAGGATGGAAACATGTAATCTGTTTGATCATATTAAAATGTCATGGAGATGACCTCCAGTATTATTAGTAGTTACTACTTTACTACTTTGAGAAACCATGGATTTCTACCAAAGATTACATTTACAGATGATAAATATTGCAGAGAAGATAACTTACTTTTAGAGAAAGTTGGCTTTTAACAGGAGTGATACCAATCAAAATGCAGGATATCAGCTGATTTTGGAAGTGAGGATGTAAAGAGCATTTTGAAATTTGAATCCATTGGTGTAGTACTTTATAAACTGTTTCTTTATACAACCTAGGAAAATAATAAAGAAATCCAATAATTGTCATAAGTATATTATCATAATTTTTCCATACTCACCAATTTGTAAGGAAACAATCACAACTTTCCACTTTCTTCAAACAATCTACTAGAACTTTACTTATGATGAATGAAAATGGTAAACTATTGGCTTGCATCCTGGAAGAAGGAAATAGAATCAGCAAATCATTGATTTTTTGGTAAGTACCAAATTTTACCATATTATGGTAACCCTCAATAACTGTAATAACTGTATCTGGATATTATTGAGTAGTAGAGAGAACTGGAAATCTGCTATTGAATTAACCTTATCAGTTGATACACAATGATGGATAGAGGTGCCCCTCCTGATAATATTCAATACTTCTAGAGGCCTGATTTCTTTGGCAACAGGAAACCCTTTACTGAAAAAAATATACTATTGCAATTCAATTCTCAGATAGTCTCAATATGCAAGGAATCTTGGAAAAAACTGTGTTAGTCTCTAGATTTTGCACATTGAAATTATTATTTATGTTGGGAATAGGATACCTACTCAAATCTCAAGTAATTTTTATTCTTTCCACAAATTACCCTGTATATTCAAAATACTTACATCATCATTGTCATGATGAATTTCAAACAATTATGGATATGTCTGGCCACTACTTGCTGCATTTTTTGGGAGTCATGAGCAGATTCATTGAAATCAAACCCATTCAAGTCAGAAATTTTAAACTCATCAAATTCAGTTTCATTTTCAAGAAACTTATCAAAGAGTTTATGTACTGTAGCACACAATTTTCGAAAAGAAGATGAAAAGCTGTTTATATGGTTTGAACCATCTATACCTCCACCTCCAATCTGAAATGTGATGGTTGTAATCTTTGATTCGAATAGAACAAGTTTGCAAAAATTTACCTGTTGTGAGAAATGGAAGCCAATTGCTGCTTTTTCTACAATAGAATCTACAGAACTTTCAAGATATTGGAGGAGGAAAGTTTCTATCCTGATTTTGTGAGAAGTGAACCAACTAGCATAGTGTTTCATACATATGGTCAGAGTTCCAAGAGCTGCTTCAATTTCATTGGGATTGTTATGGGAAGACAAACACATTTCCATAACCTTGTTGAGGTAATCAGAAACGAACTTTTTAGAGAAATCTTGGTCCTTGTATACATTTTCAACAATGTTTCCTAGACAAAATTCAAGAATATAAAAACTCTCTTTGGAATATTTTTATTTTACTTACCAATGGAAAGTAGTTTAACTTCTTTTAACTGATCATCAGTATATTTTACCAAGCAGTGGTTAATCCAGTTGAGTGCATTTTGGGAAACAATTTCAATAGAACAGTTATTTAGTATCAAATTCAAATACTCTAAACCTTGTGGGCGAGTTTTTGATACAGAAAGCAGTTTGTTTATTGCACTTATCACTGCTTTTTCACTAGTTTCATTTTGAAGGTGTAGATTCAAGATACTTGAAAAGGTGGATTTTAGGTAACTGTCGATTATGATTCCTTCTTCAATTTGGGAACTCGTTAAAGGCATTTTTCCTGAGTTTTCAAAGAGATCAAAGTTAAAAGTTAGGTTTTTTGGTTAATTTGAACTTCCAAATATGAACATAACCCAAGTTCTTCCAAACATTTCTTCTTTTTTTCACCTACGTGAAGTGGGCTGCCAGAGCTGGCTGCCAGAATTTCCGATCTTTCACGATTGACCAGTGGCACGCGTTTCCCCCCTTTTGGGTATCGAATATCGAAATTCCTCATTTGCGATGATGCTATGTTAGAAGTTAAGCTCGGCGATATTCATAATAACAAAAACAAAATCAATCACCGGGCATATCTAACTCAGTATTATCATGATTGATATTAGGTGCCCTAGGTGCCCTCTAAAGCAGCCTACTTAAAAAAAAAACAATAATAAGTATTGTGAAAGCGCTGCACAGTTGCTTTTGCAACGTTGCAGCAACGACTGTTGATGCTTTCCTAAAGTGCATAAATAATTTGGAAGAAACTGGTATAAAACCATACCTAACTCTTAAAGACGATACCCTCCTTTGTAGAGAGGCATTACGAACGCCAAAGTTGATACACTCCCCTCGTAAGAGTACTTGACGTGATTCCATACACTCACAATGTCGACTAACTCTTCGACTGTTTAATTGAATGATCGATAATAGTCGTTTTATATGAAGAAATGTTCGAAGAAGAATGAAAATACGATCTGTATTTGAATTTAATGTTCATGAAAACTTATCTTGGACATCTCCATATATTCCATTAATCTGCTTGACAGATGTTGAGCTCATGAGTGAATTGTCCTGAACGATTATAGAGTACTTGTGAGTACAGGATCTCAAATTATGGGATATCTTTCATGGTTTACATTGCTCCTGGAATATCCTGAGAAAAAACTTGGATTAGTATTATGCTTCTCTCATTGCGCAATATATTATACATCACAATTTACATCTATGAAAGAAATATGGGTATATCCTTCAAAGAGCACAGCTTCATTGAAACAACGACTGTTGATTTCCTAAGTTGCACGAATAATTTGGAAAAGAACTGATATAAAACCACTGTTTATACCTAACTCTTAAAGGCGACACCCTCCTTTGTAGAGAGGCATTACGAACGCCAAAGTTGATACACTCCCCTCGTAGGGTACCGGACGTGATTCTATACAATCACAATGTCGACTAATTTTTCGACTGTTTTATTGAATGATCGATAATAGTCGTTCTTTATGAAGAAATGTTCGGAGAAGAATAAAAATACGATATTTATTTGAATTTAATGTTCATGAAAACTTATCTTGCGGACATCTCCATATTCCATTAATCTGTCTGACAGAGATGTTGAGCTCATAAGTGAATTGTCCTGAACGATTATTGAGTTCATGTACGTAAAGTATCCCGAATGATGCGATATCTGCCATAGTTTACATTGCTTCTGGAATGTCCTGAAAAAAAAACTTGGATTAGTATTATGCTTCTCTGATTGCGCGTGTAATATTTAGTGAATTGGACGCCCTAATTTCGAATCCGAAGTGATTTTCAACCTATCTTGCCTTCGGTATACTGGGTGACACGTACTCATGGTGACACCTCTTTTCTTCTTCGTTTTTCTAGATATATTTCTGAAATTTGTAATATCGAATATGCTCACTAGAGTCCACTTTCTAACATTTTAGGATTTTTTTGATCTTCCGGTCATCTTGGAAATTACATCAACTTCCGATGTTCAAATGGAATACCTTGTTCCATAATCGGTTAAGGATTATTATATCGAATTCAACAATACCGGGTCTGATTGAAATATTTCAAACGATTCGAAGATATTCGCGTTCGAAGTTTCCATAAGCTCAATGAGTGTAATCTTCGTAATCGTTCGAAATAACTCAATCAAACCCGGCATTATATTGAATTTGTTATAAGAATCCCTACCCTCTATGGGACAAAATAGATGGTGTTTCATTATGAAATCGAAAGTTGATGTTATTTCCAGGAAATCCGGAAGATGAAATGAAAAATTCCTAAAAATTCCTAAAATGAGGAAAGTGCCCTCTAGTGATCATATTCGATGATTCAAATTTCAGGAATATTGCTAGAAAACCAAAGGAGAAAACGGGGGTATACCATGAGTCTGTATCACCCGGTATGCCTTGCTCCTGCAAATTTCAAAATCCTAACTCTACAATAACGAATGATGCTCGCATTAGAAGTGAGACACACTGTATTCAAACCCAACGTGTAATATATTTTTAATAATCAGCTTTCCATAGACGTTTAAAAATTTTAATAATATATGGGGTGTTCCATTTGAAAAAAATGTCGCGGACGTCATTCTTTAAAAGTGAATAACCCTGTTTATTTAATTTTCCCCTTATGAATGTGAGAAATTTAAAACAAAAATCGACCTGTCTCAGAAGATTCCTCAGAAACGGATAATTTGGCAGAAAATGAATCAATTCAGTACTTCACGAAAACACTGTATAATATGTATGTACTTAATCGCTCTTGTGAGAAGACTGATTCTCACTATGGATTGCTAGATTAATTTTTTTCCTTGGAGAAGGTAAAGAAATAGATTTGTTCTCTAGCAAAGTGCGTATCATGTTAAAAAGGATTAAAAAACTCACCAGTATGAAATCTGCATGTAGTTCACATATGTATTCTCAAAACACTTCACAAAACACCGGCACAACACAGAATAACTCGAATTAATCACTTTACCGAACGATGTATTCGATAGACGATTATCACTCTTTTACACAGTTGTAGGATTAAAACAGTTCTTTTCTACGGCTATAGCACAAAATAGCTTGATTGCCCTTGTTTTAATGAGGTATTTTGTATGTCATCAATTTTATTTCACAATGACTTGTTTGTGTTATTATTTCACAAAATTTCATCTCTCATGAAATGCCAAATTTCCATCAATGACAGCTCTATCTATAATAGATGAGCATTATTTGAGGAAAAATCATATGGCTACAAGCCGAAGAAATAAAGAATGTCACTGTTATCTGTTTCAGCCGTAGAAGAAGTAGGTATAGTGCGAGGTATAGTGTATAACTCGCACGGAATACGAATGCTCGTTAAACAACGAGTGAAACAATACAGGTGTTTCACGATAAATCTGAAAGTTTGGTGGCATATTCTAAGCGATGCGATGTATTCCATTGAATTTATTATAGACAGAGACGTCGACTAATAATGTATAGTTTCAACAAAAAATCCTAAAGTTGAAAAATCTCGATATCTCGCTCGATGTAGAACACCTTTTATATCTGTAATCGTTCCCGCTAGATCACAAGTTTAGTATGATACATTGATGAAATCAGCATTCCAGGAAAAATTAAAAAATGGAATGGAATGGAGTGTTTCATTTGAAAAATCATAGTTGTTGCTACTTTCTAGTAGAAGCGGCGGCGCCGCATTGTTTAAAATATTTCAGACGTGTAGATTATGTCTATTTAAACATACCATAAGATTTTCAGATTCATCGCAGTTGCTTGGTTTCCCAGAAACTTCTAATTAATGCTCATCGTGAAAAACCCTGTATACTATTTCGCGATATGCACTAGATTCTTGCTTGAAACTGATACGAGCACTTTACGCGATGATATCTAACACAAGACTGACACGATTCACCACCTCGCCCCGAATGACGAATTAGTTGCGTCACCTTCCTATCCTATCAATTCCCGAACAAGTATCCATCTGTGACTAATAATAATAATGATATCTGAAGTTTACGGGGAGGTCAACTTTCTGATTCCTGATAAAACCCAGTTTTTTTGTCACAACTTATATCTCTGAATTATTATAATTGAAAATTTCACAAATCACATTTTCGACCAATTGAAAGTCTACACAAATTTCCAGAAATTGTTTTCTCCTTGGGGGGAAGAAGTATGAAATTACAATGGAAAATTCCTCAGAAATGTATAATTAGGCTAAAAAAGAATTCATTCAGCACTTCACGAAAGCATATATATGCGTACTTATTCAGTCTTGTGCGAAGACTAAAATTCTCATTATGGATTGGTAAATTCTTTTCTGTTCCTTGGAGTAAGAAATCGATTTATTTTCTCGCAAAGTGCCTATCCCGTTTTAGGAATAAAGATTAAAAAACTCACCAGTATGAAATCTGCATATAGTCCACATTTGAATTCTCAAAACACTTCACAAAACACCAACACAATACAGAATAACGCGATGTAATCACTTTACCGAACGATGTATTTGAAAGACACCGTATTATCACTTTTTTTAATAAACACAGTTGTAGAATTAAAATAGTCCTTTTTCTACGGCTATATAACACAAAATTGCTATTATTTCACAAAATCTCATCTTCTATGAAATGTCACTATCAAGCAATGGCAGATCTGTCTAATAGATGAGCATATTATTTGAGAGAAAACCAGATGGCTACAAGCCGAAGAAATAAAAAATTTCGATGGTATCTGTGACAGCCGTAAAAAAGTATAGTGTATGACTCGCACGGAATGCTAATTTCTGATTAAAATGATTATCATTCCGTGCTCGTTAAACAATACAGGGTGATTCACGATGAGCGATAATTAGACGGTTCTGGCAAACCAAGCAACAGATGAATCTGAAAATTTGAAGGTTAGTATAACTTGACATGATCTACACATCTAAAATATGGAATAGAAAGTAGCAGTAATTTTTGTTTCTTCAAATAGAATACCTACCCTGTTTTTCATTGCATTTTTAGATTCTTCCTGAAGAGCTGATTTCATGAATGTATCACACTTGGGGTCTAGCACGGAAGATGACAGAGATATAGGGTGTTCAAACTTAAGGATTTTTTTGTGACGAAACTATTCATTAGTTGTCGAAACGGCTTACATGTCCCTATCTTAACTGTTGAATTACTATATTTACTTACATTCAATTGGAACATATGTACACGGTGATCAGAATTATGAATCCACCCTGTATTTGTTCCAATTAAATGTCGGCAGATAGTAAATCGAAAGTTGAGATAGGGACATGGAAGCCGTTTTGACCAATAATGAGTTTCGACAAAAAAGATTCCTGAAGTAAAAAAAATCTCGATTTTGAACACCCAATATCTCTGTTATCATTCCCGCTAGACCCCAAGTGTGATGCATTGATGAAATCAGCTCTTCAAAGAAAATCTAAAAATGCAATGTTTCATTCGAAAAGTCATAGTTGCTGCTACTTTCTAGTAGAAGTCGCAACGCCGCTTCGTTCAAAAAGTTTCAGACGCTTATTAGATCATGTAGATTTATACATACCATGAAAATTTCAGATTCATCTGTTCTTTGGTTTGTCAGAAACGTCCAATTAAAGCTAATTATTGTGAAAAACCATGTATACTATTTCGCGATATGCACTAGTAACTAGATTCTTGCTTGGAACTGATACGATACGAGCACTTCAAATAAGTAGACCGCACGCGATGACATCCAACATAAGACTGACACGATTATCACCATTCACCAACTCGTCCCGAATGACTAATTAGATGCGTCACCTTTCGATCCTATCAATGCCCGAAACAAGTGTTTATCTATGACTAATAATAATGGTGATATCTGAATTACACAGGGTGGTGGGATGGAACATGGAATATACAGATATACAGGGTCATTTGAAACGATAATCCCAACTTGAAAGTCCGCACTTTTGGTCAACTTCCTAATTTCTGATGAAATACATTTTTTTTTCGTATCAACTTATAACTGAATTATTATTGAAAATCACATTTGAGGTATACCTAGGTGTATATTATAAAATAACATAATATGATACATCACACATATGTCCCTTGCCGGTTCAATTTCAACTGATTGAGCTACCATTTTTCTTTCGAATAAATTCGTAAAATGAATTTAAAAATTGAATTGAATGTAACAGGAGCATTATGAACTGACACAGTGTTGTATTATTATTTTTCGGATCAAAAACCATTGTGTTGAAAAAGAATCATACTCCAATCTATAACATAATAAAGCTAAGTCTAACTATACTTACTTTTGCCACAGCCAGTGCGTTAAATAGTTAGGATGAAAGAGTGAATTTTGTTTTTCCTGTATAATGATCAAGCCATCAGCTTTCCTTGGAAACTGAAATTCAGGATAATATTCCGATTCTTGAATCTACAATTTCATTAAAATCGGAAAGAATTATAAAATCGATCGATTATGTTTAATTTGTTTGCCGGGTTTTTATGCCGGTGAGTGTAAGTTGGCACTCAAGGGGAACTTTTTGCTCTATTTTTCGTTCATGGAATCTAATAGAGACTATGTATTCTACGCCAAATATGGTACAATCTGTATTATATTAATCACTTATAATTACACAAAAGCAACTTTTATCTTGAAGACACACTACAAAACAAATTCCATTTAGCAGTGGCTGAACGCCTCATGGGTTTTAAATGCTGGGCTGTGTATACGTTGGGTCAGGTTCTGGGACACCCCTGCACTGATGAGAGGCGAAAGCTAGAAATCGGTCAGTAGGTGTTCCAGCGTTCCTGAACAATTTGAGCACAATTGAGTATTTAGGAAAGACACACTTGTGATCTTATTGGTCTATACGAAACGTTGCATATAGCCAGGAAAGTAGTTGTTTTTCTCCCGTTATCTACCAGTTTCGTTCATTAATGAACATTTGTGGAAATAGCTTGGAGCTTTGCTTATTTATTCAATTATAATTCAGTTTAACCTCACTTATAGAGCAACATATTCATAGCAAAATTTTATGGCCGATATGTCGTTGTTGGCCGATGTCGGTGTCGGTCCTATAAAATCATATCGGTCGATCCCTATACTCATGTTGCGACAACCTGTATTGTTATTATTATCGTATGTAATAAAACTAGTGCATTGATGATTATCGAAATACGTCGAATCCCTGCGATTATGAGAAACAAATTATGTTAAATTGCTTAGCAAACACACGAGCGAATAGCGTGAGTGTGGTTGTGGATTTTCGATAATCATCAATGAAACGAGTTGTATTTGTTAAGATTATTTCACTCATTGATCACTCCATGATCAAGATTATCCTTGTATGGATTAGTGATCTATTCATCGAGTTAAAAAAACATGCCATGTGAATGATGATATTTTATTATGGATGAATAAAATATTATTATTATCATTATATTCTTTCATAAATGAAACAATAATTTCATATCATATTCTTATTTGCAGTTGGTATAATGCAACTAACGATACGTGACGATACATATATTGATATATTGCTATCTATCTATCTATTCAGGAAATCGAAATCTGCAATTCCAGTAAATAACAATATTTGTAACTGGAGCATGTGTTTTGTGTTATATTTTTTTAGCATCATGCTACTAGTTTCTCGACTTGATTGTTTTTATTTCAGCTGGAATTCAAGAGATCATTTGCAATGCCAGCAAAAGAAAAGTGCTCTGCTATCCTCTTCCTGAAATTGATCCTATAGAATAATTTTTCAGTTCTGGCAAATCTCAGCTGGTTTTGCCAATCTGAGGGTTTTTCAAATAATAATATCAACCATGATAATAATGGGTTTGATATTCCCACTGATTGATTTTGTTCTTGTTATTATCAACATCGCATCATCGAAGAAAAGCAAGTGAGGAATTTCGATATTCGATACCCAAAAGGGGGGAAACGCGTGCCACTGGCCAATCGGGAAAGTTCGGAAATTCTGGCAGCCAGCTTTGGAAGCCCACTTCACGTAAGTGGTCATCTGACAGTTCTCGCACGCAACCCATTGACTATAAAATTTAGAAGAAGAAGAACTTCATGTTTATGGTTATGATGATTTGTCATATTTGTTTTTATTTGCTCTCTAAATATTAAAAATGTTTTGTTGTGGTGTTATTTCAGTTATTTGTTCTTGTCAGTTAAATCGTGGTTTTCTGAACTTTGAATCGTAACATATTGGGATAACTCTATCAGCTGCGTGAAAATGACTACAGTAAATCCAGAAGTATTCAAAAAATTCAAGAATGCAACATTAATTACATCTAGACAAGAAGGAGATGGTCATGAAGTACAGGTGATAAGCCAATATTTGTTTAAACATAATTGATAACATGAGATTAAACTAATTTCTCGAATATCCCAAGGAATATCATAGATTCCTAGGCCCTGAAAATCAATTGAGGATCTTTTTTCAGGTTGAAGTTCGTGAAGATGAAGAACAATCAGTTAAACTGCAAGAAATAACTGATATTCTGGTAGCTGCAGGCTACTTTCGAGCAAGAATCAAAGGTCTCTCATCTTTTGATAAAGTTGTTGGAGGAATGGTTTGGTGTATTGAATCATGCAATGTAGATATAGATGTTGATCTCTTGTTTCAAGAGAATTCCACAATTGGCCAAAAAATGTAGGGAATGATTTTTCAAAATGCCAACAATCAGCTAGTAATTCATATGTTATAGTGCCCTCACAGAAAAAATTGTAGCTGTCTTACCTAAGATCAAATGTCCACACAGGATTGAACCACATCAGATCCAAGGCTTAGATTTCATTCATATCTTTCCTGTTATACAAGTTAGTGCACATGCCAGATAATATAAACTTTTCTGCTATATCTATTTCCAGTGGCTAGTAAAAAGATCAATGGAGTTTCGTCAAGAAATGTCAGCTTCTGTGAGGTCTTATGCAGTGAATCAATTTTCCAAGCAATTTGAAGTGAAAGACAAGAATGAAGATGTCAATAAAAAAATGCTCTCTAATTTGCAAACTGTTAAAGAAATTTACAGACCAAGAAGATATTATAAAAGGAAAAATGCTCCTCCCCAGGATATGAACTCTAGAGTACAGATAACATTATTAGAATATGATCATCATGGTAGAGATTTGCAAGGAACTTCAACCAGTGCTGCCACTAGTGAATCAGGTGTCTTAGAAACTGAACAAGCAGAGGTACTAGAATTGGGTTGTTTACCATAAATATTTTGTTACTTAACATTTGTATGATACTGTTGTTGATTGATTTGAGAAATCTCATGAAATGGGGCTACTAAATGGAATATTTAGAGTATGACTTCTCCTTTTTGAAGGCCATCCCTCAGATTACCTCATTGTATGTATTGAAGATTTGAACCTAATTTGGTTGAACTCCTATCCCTCCATTTGGTACTCCTGTAGCTATTTCTAAAATATATTTCACCTGCATGCCTATTTTTTTTTTCATTTTTTTTTTACCTGCTTGTGTTTGCTTATTTTTGTAGAAACAGATCCAACATCTCTTGAATAATTTGACAATTGCTCCAGAGGTAAGTGGTAAAACTATTTTATGATATCAATAATAATCATTATAATTATTAGGCACACTTATTAGTAATGTGAATTGATTTAGATAAGACTTTTTCCATAAATAGGAATTTTCACATACATGAACTGCAATTTCTTTATCAATTTCTAATGCCTTAGAATTTTTCTAGGAGTCATAATGTAAATATCCATTTTGTGTAGGAGTTTCTAAATCAATTAATTTTTTTCTCATTTTCAGGACTCCTTTGACTGTGATGAACTGAGTGAGGAAGAGAAAAAAAATCTGATGAAACATTATGAGTTGTTGCAATCAGAACTGAAGGTAGATATCAATATTCATGTATCAAAGGCAGGCTTGAAATAGAAAACTCATGTTGCTTTGTAGCAGCCAAAGATTGATATGTTGACAGATTAACATGTATCAAATTTTTCATCTGTTGATTCCAACATGTATTTTATCTTTCAACTATCAAATAAAACATCCCTCATTATTTCAAATTTAAGATTGAGTGAAAATCAAGGCCACATTAGTCATGTCTAGATTGATGATTATGAATTTCACAGTCTCTTGCTAAACTTTCATTCCAATTCTTCATTTACATCAAATGACATTTTCATAGTTCCAATTTTGAACATTCCATCTTCCAGGATGGAGGTGTAACATCTAGAGAAGAAACTCAAACTCTAGCACTAGAGCAGCAGCTACAGCTACTATCTGATAGATGTAGTGAATTGAAAAACAGAAAATCTGCCTTGCAAGAAAAATTGAAAAATAATGAAGCTGTGATTGAAGAAACACAACTCAAACAAAAAGAAGCAAATAGAATTTTGAAAGAGCTAGAAAATGAGGAAATCCAAGACCCTGAGTGAGTTGAATTTTGTTGTTGAGAAGTAATATCTGGCATTGCTCATGCTTTTTGGGGAGTTATCTACTTCATATTATGTAATGATTTCAAGTATTTAGTTATCTTTTATTTCAGCACTGTGAAGGAAATTGAGGAAATGATAATTTTGAATGACAACTTGAAAACTCAGGAAATCCAATTCAGAAGTGATTGTAAGAAAGAATTAGCAAGACTCCAAAACTTGATACAGTGTGTATAAGCTGGTATAAGTATCCCCAATTTTTCTTGTTTTCACAAAATATTTTTCAGAGAAACAAAATCTATGAAAGCCAGAACTCCAGCTGAAACTAACCTTGATTTAGGTAAGGAAATAAATGAGGAACAAGAAAAAATTCGAGTCCTGAGGTTACAAGTAGCAAAGAAAAATAGGCATGTGGCAGCATTGCAAAGGCAACTTGACGATGTTCCCAATAGGGCTGAACTTGCACAGTACCAGAAAAGATTTTTGGAATTGTACAACCAAGGTGAATAGAAAATCCCATATTGAAGTTTAAATATTTTCAAGAGGATTTTCATACATGTGGTTTTCAGTTGCCTCAAAACACAAAGAAACCAAACAATATTACACCCTCTACAACACCTTGGAAGATACTCGCTTGTACATGAAGAAAGAGTTGTCATTATTGAATTCTGTCTCAGAAAACTATCCAGAAGCAGTGCAATCATCTAGTAATAAGGAAGAATTCCTCAATCAATTCCAGGGTATAGTGGATAGTGTGAGACAGTCCAAAATGAAGGTTGAACAGAAGGTATGTATCATGAGTTTTAAATTATATTGGTAGAATCTCCTCTTGCTATATTTCAAAATTTCTAGTGAAATGAAACTATTAATTTGTGACTGGACTATTTTTTTCAGTGGGAGAGACCACTGATTTTTTAAAATAACATGATCATGACCTCTATACAAAAAACCACCAGTAAATATAATTTTCAGTTTTTTTCTTCCATTCTAGGAGGATAAAAAAACAGAAATATGTTCATTTCAAAACATGCATGTCCTATGCCAATTGAAATGGTGTCAATTCATTGATTTTTTATTCTTTTTATTTATTCATTTTGAAAGTAACATACATATCAGCATACTATATTAATAATAATATACATTTTTTTTATAATATAAACATGATAAAAAAAGTTGAAAACTTGTCCATGATCTTGTTATATTTTTTTTCTTCCACTGACTTACTAAAATTCATGTTCTCATTGAGTACAATTAATATAACAAATACATTTTTCTCCAAGCGGCAGGGATAGTGGCATTTTTCTGCCGCTCAACAGGCAGAAAAGGTGTACCTTTACTGCCTAGGCAGAAAAAGTTTGTTGCTATGCTACATTCCAAGAAATTCTGATGCAATTAGTAATCAAAATTGACACTGACATTGGATGAACACAAAATGATGGAGTTTTCAATAAAAAATTACACAAATTGGTTTTATATCATTTGGAGAAATAAAATCTGTTTCACACGGCAGCAAATGTAGATTGACTGCCTTGGCTGAATTCCTAGCCTCCCTATGCTCGGCTATGAACTATCAGCCGCGGCAGTCGATTGACTACTTTTTCGACTAGTAAAACAAATAACTATCATATATTTTCTAAAAATAACTATAAAAAACATGATATGTTGCATAATTATTTTTTCAGAAAATCAAATTTTCAAAATTTCTGAATTCTCAATCAACCATGATTCAATATTTTTCTTGAATCTAAAACTTTTTTTTTTCAAAGAAGGAGACAATTTGTTGTAAATTTTTTTACCTATTTGAATGGCATGATGTTGCATTAAATTTGAAGAGCATTTCTCAGTTTATATCCAACCATCAATTCTATTTTTGGTGTCATATTTATGTTTAACATGATTATAGTTTTGTAAATGTTTTCTTATGTATATTGTTGATGTTTTATAAAACAATTGATCAACAGATAACATCTTATAATGTTCAAAGAGGATTTTGGAAAAATAATCAAAAGGTTTTTTGAAGATAATTTTCAAGGTATATTTTTAAATTGATATAAGTGGTTTCAACGCTTGTTTATGTAGACCTCAAATACATTGCTTTCCATTTTTCAAACATGGAATAGTACAATCTCTGGTATGTATCTTCAATTTATCAATTCTTTTTGGTTGCATATTCTCATTAAATGTGAATGAGATGAAATTCGATTTTTTCAAATTTAGAGTCAGTAAATCATGATCAAGATTGTTTTTTATAATTGATGAATCAAATTCAGCATTTGATACTGTTTCTTCCCAAGTATTTCCACTACCTATAAACACTATGTCATCAGCATAAGAAAATAAATTCCCGTTTATCTTTGTTTTCAATATATCAGTAATGTAAATTAAAAATAGAATAGGTCCTAAAACTGTCCCTTGAGGTACACCACATGTGATGTATTAGTCTCAGCACGCCAATTGTCCTTGAGCTGACCAATCACACTGTAACACTGCAGAGATATAGCTTCAGTTCGGGACTGATACGCCACAGCTCCACCTTCACATCTGGCTTTTTGAAATATCTAATGGAATATGCTGATTTCAAAACCCTATAGATTCAATTTCCTTCAACTTCAACTCATAATATTCATTGTACATTGGATATAAATCATGATTCATCCATTGGTAGAGGTTTGGACGGATAGTGGTCTTCCCCTTTTTTCACTCTGATGCATTCATAGAATCTCATTCAACTTATATTTTTAATTTAGTACCTGGTGAATTTTTTAAGTTTAGTACTCGTACTGGTGGACTATAATAATATAGTATAGTGGAGTAATATTTTTCCATGGGGTTGTACCATATGGTCGAATTTCAACCTCAAAACATGTAAATAAATACAAAAAGCTCAAAGTCACTTTCACACAATGTTCATAAAATTAACAACAATGGTAGATTTCGGGAGAAAAACAACTACTTCCCTGGCAAATGCCACGCAGGACATTGAATTACATCCTCCCAAAATCTATGCATTTTTTTTCTCAAAACATGTTTTAAAATGATCCTTTCAGGTGATATTTTGTAACTATTTACGATTTATCTCAAGAAAGTAACCAGATGCTTCATTTTTATGGAAGTTGTTACCCTATGATTGTTTTACAGGTGATTGAGGAAAAACATAAAAGAGATGAATTGTGCAACAATCTCCAAGGATTGATTGAATTGCAGAGAAAATACGTGGCAGCTGTAAGGCACTTAGGAGTGGAGTTTAGAAAACAGGAGATATTGATTGCACAGATCCATGGTCAAGGTTAAGGTATGTTGAAATTTGCATTGACCAGTTAATTTATTTTCTCTCAGAACCAAATTATTCACAATCTGATAGTATCCATTGTTATAATGATAGCCGAATTATCGGAAAATTAATATGAATGACTATTTCCTATTTCTGGTCATCATCTACCTGTAGATGGATTATTCAGCACCAGATGCATGAATTAAATTTATATTTAATGTGATATAACTATTCTATGAAGCCTTTTGAGAATTGTATATAGGAGTTGTGTTAAATGAATACTATTGTACCTTTAAGTGCAAAACATTGTTTTGTTAAAATTGTTTGAATGTATATTTAGAAATTCATAAAAATTTTTGTTCTGATGTAGATATATTATAGCTTTGTTACAAAAGCACTATTTATATCATTTATACAAATTAAACTCATATACAATTGCAATAGATTTATTTCATTTCAATTTGAATTATAATACATATTGTTAACAGTTATGGAGTAGAAGGGTTGAAAGGGGAAACTTTTGATTTTTATATTTTGACAGTGATTGCTCTTTGGTACATCGACTTAGGAATTATTTACCTATTATTTTAAGTCAGTCAAAACAATAATTTATTATAAAATAGTCCAAAATTGTGTCTCTCATAAACATATTTTACAAACTTAATATCCCTAGAATTTTGTGTATAAAATTTTCAACTTCAATTTTGATTATATTAAACAACGCTGGAGGTTTTGGCGTACAATGGTTTTTTTTTTATATAATATATAATTCGATATTTTGAACACTATAGTTTCCACATGACATGCATTCAATAATTTAACTCTTAACAACACAGTATACCTGTTCAAATGGAATTTGTGGCCCGGTTGGCCTGCTTCCTGGAAATCATCTTTTCTTCAGAATGATATTGACCAGAAGCCATTCAGTATGTCCCAATTGCATAACCATTTTGGACAAACCAATCAGATCGTGATCATTTTCGACTTTTTGTACAAGTTGGTAAATAACAATTTTTCACTAGAAAAGCCCCTCTGGTAGTCCGTAATTTTAGCAGAAATCAGTTACTATTGTTGATTTCCTAATGATTCTGCAAATTTTAGTACTGAGTTCGTAATATATAGTCTCATTTGAGATATTTGCAACTTTGACAGGTTCACCATTGTCGATCTTCAAGGAAAATCAAGTAGGCAAGTAGGTATTATTATAATATTGTCTGCACATTGAAAAATAATATGCAAAAATCTGTATCTAAGTTATTCATTTTTTTATTCTTAACCTATGAATTTTTCATGATCCTGTCATGATTGTAAAGAAAAATTCCTCATGTTTTCTCAGTTGAAACCATATTAACAAGGATATCAAAAGTATAAACATCATCTATACTTGAATTGGAGAAGGAAACATACCTATTACTAGAGTCCCTGTATGTATTTGACAGTTCTGCTGTAATACATACAGGGACTCTACCTATTACTAGCTGGATGCTATTTAAATTCGAATAGGAACTGGAAAATCATCATAAAACGTTACTGTTTGCACTTCTATAAAATGCAAGCCAGCTGGGAAGGTAGGAACTGCTTATTTCCCCTTATATTGTTGATAAATTACTATACAGGGTGATTCATTATATATGCGCAGGACTTCAGGGTGTGACAGCTCGTCCAAAAATATGAAAACAATTCGCACAAAAAACAGCTTTTGTAAATATCTTCTAGTCATAATAAGCTATGTTTTGTGCGGAATTTAATTTTTTAAGTCATAATTGGTGTGCGCCACTAGAAGAAGTACAGTTTGCAGCCGCCATTTGAGCGGCGAATGTGTTCTACATAAAAAAATACGCCTGGTCATAAGGTCTGAAGTTGACGGTTTTCGAGAAATATAAACTTTTATGTTGAAAATCATGGAATATTTTTCGATGCAATGCATTGAAGCTAACATTTGCAACAATCATTAACTCAACTGAGTATGAATAGTTATTGTTTATTTTGAATTTTGCAATATTAAGTTAATGTTTCGTTCTGTTATTTATTCTAATGTTCAAATAAATTTTGTTTAAATAGTAGAAAACAATATTTTTCAAAAAATTGACCATGATTTTCAACATAATAGTAGATTTTTCTATAAAACGGTCAAATTGAGAGCTATATGACCAAGAGTATCTTTCATGTGTAGAAAACATTGGCCCTTCAAATGAGCTGCTCAAAACTGTACTTTTTCCAGTGGGGTAGAAGTTGGAGAGAAAAACCCACACTACCACTGACAATGTAGTACCTACTTGCCTACTTTCTTCTCCAATTAGATTGTCAATGAATCCACCCATAGACATATAAAAAGAGAAGAGGCGAAATTGTCATTGACAATTGGTGACGTTGGCAATCAAATGAGTTACAGGATGTTTTCATCAATTAATCTTGAATTTACCATCTTCATGTTCAGATTTTAGTAGTGAATACCATGTTCTGTCTATATCAACTGAACAAGAAGATTGCCAACGTCACCAATGGAGGAGACCACTGATTTTTTAAAACGACATTATCGTGAACTCTATAATGAAAAACTACCAGTGAATTAATTTTGAATTTTGTCATTCATGCTAAGACGGTGAAAAAAATAAATTAGAATATGTCCATTTCAAAACACACAATTCCTGTGCTATTTGAGATTGTGTCAATTCATTGGTGTGACTGGTGCCACGTGTTAGTCCAAACACGCCTATTGTCCTTGAACTGACCAATCACACTGCAACACTGCAAAATGACGAGGTATCAGAGAGAGATAGCTAAAGCTCGGGACTAATACGTCACGGCTCCACCATCATATTTGGCTATTTGAAATATCGAATGAAATATGCTGATTTCAAAACGATATAGATTCGATTCCCTTCAACTTCAACTCATAATATTGACTGTACATCAAACGTGAATCATGATTCGTCGATTGAGAGAGGTTTGCACGGATTTCTTCTCTCAGTGGTCTTCCCCATTGTCAATGAAAACTGAAAAGCTTCAAGACAGATACGACTTTGCTATTAAAATAATCATTTCTTATGTTGAAAACGGGAGCAGATTCGGTCCCGAAAAGTCCAAAGATAAGTGAAAATTTGATATTTTTTCTCTAGCTGAATTTAATAAATTACCACATAATATAAAAAAATTGCAGACATATTTCAAAATTCAAGATTGAATTAAAAAAACACATGATTTCATTACGAAAATGATAAAATTGATACTTTGCCATCTACTGATTAGTCCCTGTGGCTATTTTTATGACTTGATCGATTTAGCATTCTTAGATTTTTTAGATTTTCATTGTTGTTGTTGTCACCTTATATTATTTTATTATTGTTGTTTGTAATCAACTTCCTCATACCAGAATTTTATTTCTGACTGGAAGCTACTTTTTCAATAAACAATAAACAATACCTTTATTTCTCTTCTCCAAATTTTTTTAAATAAATTGTCACTGACAAGCTAGTGATTTTTTCTTTTAGGCTCTCTGATAGGAAAATTCTTCAAACGCAGTGACATTTTGGGGCAAATCATCTGATTTGTCCTTAGTACACGTATATTGAAATAATATTCATATTTTTTATTTATAGAAACCAGGAGAAAATCTCAAAAAAATCTGGAATAATGAATCTTTCTAACTTGTATAAAACTTTGTAATTATGTATGATTGTGAACAAATAGTGTTGTAAGAATGAAATATTATGTCTCCCCTCTTTTTATATGTATGTGGGCTTCACCCTAAGAACTAGCCAGTCCATGCATAAAGTCAACCCGCCCAGCGCACGCCAAAACCCCTTTTTCCGAACCACCTCCGCGCTCACACGGCGATCGAGTAGTCCGACGGATGCCCCTGGCCCTGCCCTTGACCCTGAGCCTGCGGCCGCGACCACAGGCTCGACCTGAGCCCGAGCTTGAGCTTCTTGAGCGTGTCGATGTCGCACTCGGCCTCGCTCAGCTCGGGCGGCGGCGGGCCTCCGCTCCCGGCTTGGGCGGGCTGCTCCGAGGGCGGGCGGTCCGTGAAGGGCGTCTCCGCCACAGAGAGGTGGCTCAGCATCTGGCGCTGCGAGCTGCTGCGGCCGCCCTGCGCCAGCCACCTACAGACAGTAGACTTCCTGAATGTACAGTGCATCCCATTTTGGGTGAGACAGCCAGGTTTCTCGCTTGTTATTTGAGATAGAGCCTTGCGGTTTTCACGTTCCTGTCCTACTTTTTTGTGAAACTCAAGATGGCCTAATCAGATTTTGCATAACTGTTTCCGTTTTTGAGATACAGGGCGATTTTGGAAATCTATACTTTTCGGGACCCTCCTTTATCTCCGAAGTTATTAGAAATAATGCTGAGCTGAAAACTACGTCTGATACAGAATTCCGCGTAGAATCCAGTGACGCACTCATTTTTTTTTCGGGGTATGGTTTTGAATATACGACACAAACCTATATTTTTTTCAATGGAAAAATGGTATTTTATTACTTCATTGAATTCGTTATTTTTTTCCTTTCAAAATGATGTATGATACTATATAGGTAGGATGTTCAGAAATGCTAAAAAAACACTAAAACATCACATAATGATGATTTCTTGTTAGTGGGCCATGGATTTCCCATATAAAAGAAGAATCAATTGGATAATTTTTATTTGAATTTTTTCATAGGAGAGTAAGCAAATAAAGATAATACACTCATCACTAACACGAAAAACAAAACGTTGGTACCTACCTAATAGCAACAAATAAAAAATACAAATTCATAATACAAATTAGATACAGAAGAAATACCCAATAAAATATTTTTCATGAACAAATTTTCAACATTACATAATATCTTACTGATTGAACTGTTCGAATTGCTGTCCATTTTCCCTAATACATAATTGACAAACCTTTTCAATACGCCTGAGTGCATTTAATATTATAAAAGGGCGCCTTTGTAAATCTCGGAAAGCTGCCTCTGTTGATGCACGAAGTTCTTCGGGACTGTTGTGTCTATTACTGTATATTTTATTTTTCAAATAGCCCCACAAGAAAAAGTCTAATATTGACAAATCAGGTGACCTTGGAGGCCACCTGATGGGTCCATGCGTTCCAATCCAACAACCCTGAAAATTATTTTCTAAAAACCGCCCGATCAATCTTGAATTGTGGGCAGGGGCGCTGTCCTGTTGAAAATGTATGGAATTAAGGAAGGCGAGGGGAACATCTTCCAGTAGTTCCGGTAACACGTCTTCTAGAATTGTCAAGTACCTATTTGAGGTAAGAAATCCTTCAAAAATGCGGTATATGATTTTTGTCCCCAATATGAAACATGCCACATTGAAACCAAATCGAACCTGTTGTTGTCGTTCAAAAATTAAGTGCTGGTTTTCATCATACCAATGCCTTGTATTTTGCCTGTTAAATATACCAGCACTGCTTATATGTGATTCGTCTGACCAAATAACCTTTTTTGCAAAATCAATGTCTCTCTGAGCATGGTTCAAAACCAATTGCAGAAATTCAAACGTCTTGTTGCATCACCAGGATATAAGTGTTGGACAATATTGACTTTGTAGGGTTTTAACTTATACTTTTTCAAAATTCTGTGTACCCGTGATCTGGAAATGCCAGTTTCATTTTCTAATTTTGCACAAGAAGTCTGATGATAGGCATGAACGCTAGCTAACACATTTATTTCATCTACTTCTCGATTCTCTCTATTATATACCTTGGGTCGAGGTTTAGAATATGCATAATCCTGTAAATTATTCTTTAGTCTGAATATAGTTGCTCGACTAGGTTGATACCTCTCTGGATATCTGAAAGTTTTCAAATCATGATGTAGGGAAATGTCTTGTGAAATTCTCGACGTCATACCTGTTCAAATAGAGTTCCAAAGCTTCGCCAACGTTTTCATTACATTGATTGAAACATTGTATAATGTCATATTTTTCATTGTTTTGAAAAATCAAATCTCTTCCAGCCATTATCAGTTCTCAATTAACAAATTCACAAACAATTATTTCTACAATATTCAATATTCCTTCAAACCCAAACACGATGATACACAATAATAATTCATAGCGATGACAGCTAGATCAAATTCATTTTTTTTTCTCTCTTCAATGCTCACTGGATGAAACAATGCTCCCAAATGCATGGTAGCCAGAATAACAACAAGGATGTTCGTATCATCCATGACCTACTACTGTTGATAATCAAAAGTAATATCCCTTTTATTGAAAAATCATCATTATGTGATGTTTTAGTGTTTTTTTAGCATTTCTGAACATTCTACCTATATAGTATCATGCATCATTTTGAAGGAAAAAAAAACGAATTCAATGAAGTGATGAAATACAGGGTGTTCCATTGAAAAAAATATGAGTTTGTGTCGTATATTCAAAACCATACCCCGAAAAAAAAAAGTGAGTGCGTCACTGGATTCTACGCAGAATTCTGTATCAGACGTAGTTTTCAGCTCAGCATTATTTCTGATAACTTCGGAGATTAAGGAGGGTCCCGAAGAGTATAAATTTCCAAAATCGCCCTGTATCTCATAAACGGAAACAGTTATGCAAAATCTGATTAGGCCATCTTGAGTTTCACAAAAAAGTAGGACAGGAACGTGAAAACCGCAAGGCTCTATCTCAAATAACAAGCGAGAAACCTGGCTGTCTCACCCAAAATGGGATGCACTGTACTTGACACTGCTGTTTTGACTTTTTTGTATATTAGAGTACGGATGGAGTACGGACACTAGACAAGCAGTGACAATCAAACATAACCACAAACTATTTTGAAGCAAATCATATGTTTTGCCAGACAAGGACAAGAATATGTTTTTCGCTTGGATAAAGTAGACTCCCTGTATATACCTTAGGTATATATAGGGACTCTAGGATAAAGGATCCTCGAATCTTCCTTCCTCTACAAGACCTGGGAAGAGTACATCCATATATCTTTCTCTGTCTTTGATTTTTGTATGAGAGTGCATAGCGTCTCCTCGAGTGGGTAAAAGGGTACGATAAATTAATTAGAAAATTATTTCTTCTCGAAATATTGAATGATAAGGCTGAAGGCCTCATTTAATTCTACTCATTAGTTATAGTTCATCTTTACATGACATCGGGTGATCTTCATTCGTTAATTGATCTTCATTTGATTATTATGACAAATTAGGCTTCCTATCTAGTTGGGTGATTGGTGATAACATATAATATAGTCTTTTCCAAATGAGAATGATACATGCAGTGAGATAGGGACACTATGGACAGTTTGCCTTCTTATTTTCCATTGGTACAAATTTGGACAAATTGGATCGATCCCAGTTAGGAATTATAAAATTCTCAAGCTCGGTTGTAGATGATTTCATTTCTCCCAATGTTTCATTGAAATTAACATGCTACTCCTAAGTTATTTGGAGTTAGTAACACACCTTACAGAACACATATGGGTTGTAGGACCTCTTATGAGGTCATAGACATGTGTCATAGATCCATTAACCCAGGAATACAGAATTATTTACATTGAAACATACACTTGCTGGATTCTCGTCCACTGAATTTATAGAGAAACCTGCTTGAAAGCCGACAATGCCGCCGTTTTGTGTGTTGATACTTATGCAATTTTCATTAATTTATATGTGCTATTTAGTGGTAAATGGTTGGTCATTGTCAAGAGTGCATAAAACTACACCACTATGTGTCGCTGCACAAATCGAATACCTATTTGTTAACGTAGTAAGTACGTAGCCAAAACGGAGAATACGTCGTGAACAAAGATTTATAAATGAGATTTTGCGTTTCCATTGGATAAAATGAGTCTATGACACATACCAACGAAGTACATGTACCTACAACTATTATTAACTAATACTATTACTGGACAAATGGTTCTATCGCTGAACTGTTTCACTCTCCGTACCCTTCCTGTCCCCTAACTGAAATATACTTTATAGAACTGAGTACTACAACAGCTACCTCATACCGTGTCGGTCACTATATTCTAATATCAATTTGTGCTTCACTATGGATTTTTCAGCTTTAATTGAACCCTTTTCTTCAATACAGCAAGATTTGTTTCAACATCTGTATTGTACATAAAAATAGATGAGGGCATCGATTTTTGGAAACTACATAACATGGATGGATACCAAGAAATCTTAACTTCCCAAATATTGCTATTTTATAATCCCCTACTCATGTTATTCATTGGACATGTGAGTAGACCTATATTTTGCAATTTCAAGAAATTTATTACTATAATTTGTTGACCTGTCGATGAAACATCGACCAGAACCAGAAGATCCTTCGTGGATTAAATGAGTCACTTTTGTCTTTGTCCAGATGGAGTAGAGAACAAACATCACATGGTAATCTCAAAGTGGTTTAATGTCTCACTGATGAATAAATACTTGTTGATATCTTGAATATTTGGGAAGTTTTCATTCATGGACATAAAGCAATGGGACAATGTTTTATTTTATTCTAACATTCCGATACCAAGCATTTGCATTTAAATCCTGTTAGTTTAAATCTTATTGAATAAAAGGATTGTGAAAATATGTACATAGGTTCTACAATAACTCCTGGAAAGTAGTGATAATAAGCAGTGCCTACTATGGGCCATATCAGGGATGTTGAGGGTAAGCTTCTAGTGCAATTAAAGCTGAAAACAACTATACCTGCGCGCTAGGCTGTCAATGGTGAGTATCGAATGATTATGTAACTCTTTTGCGTTCATGTACCTATTTCGGTTTCTCCTCGGCAAAGACTTCTGGTCCGACATAGGCGAAATGTCCGAGGAAGTGCTCGATTGGGCGCCGTGGTACAGAAAATCTGAAAGAGCGACGATAACCTACTTTATTGAATTTGAAATTTCTACGCGTTGGACGTGATGATAGGGACAATGGTAGATTGTTTTATTAGGATCGAAAGTGACACTTTGTTTAACTAGCGAATTTTGCATTTGCGAGGCGGAGCGTTTAGCGAAGCCGAGCGAAAGCAAAATTTGCGACTCTCTTATATGAAACTATGTTTGAAATAGATTGACGTATTGAATTTGTATTCATCTTTCACATCCATTTCACATTCTATGATATTGATGTCAAAAGTAATAGTGGCTTCCACAGCTAAGTTGATTCATTTTGCTAACTTTATAGCTAAGTAATGTGGACTCCTGGATAAAGTTTTGGAGTTTTAGTAATGATAGTCTACTTACTGTGTTTATGCTTCATATCAAGCTGGTTGGAAGACTCTGTTCGACTAGATGTCAGCTGGTCTTGATCCGATTCACTGTCATCGCTTTCTACATCGTTCTTTCTATTGACTCGCCTCCTTCCGTGGCCTTTTGTACTTTGAAATTTTTGCTGAGAAAATATGAATGATTTTTTAATATATTTATGGGTTCTAACCATAGCCTATCAATAGGATAATGTGGACTATAAAGATTTGGATGTATCATAACGACAATCGTCATTGTACCATTAGTATTTCTTATACATATAGTTTTCCTCATATGTTCACACATAGTTGCGATGTCTCGCAGAAGTTTTTGTACCTTGTTTTGTGATTACCTTATATTTGGTTGTAGTAATGTACCTACTTTCACAGAGATAGTCATAATGTCTGATATTGGGGAAGCCATCAAACCACTGAGTTCTTATGTAATCAGCTCCAAGATGGCATAGATTGTTTGGGAATGCCGAGAAAAACTGAACATTTGAACTAAATCGAAGCAGAAGAAGAGTCCTCGCTATAGTCATACACACTAGATCTCATACGGCTAACAAAAGCGGGAAGGATGCAACTCATGTACTATCGATAATTTCCAGTGGATTTGAAGGAAGAAAAATAATATAGGAGAGGATGAAATCTCTAGAAACATACTTACAGAACTCAAAGCGAAGCGAAATACTTAGAAACCAACAAAATCAAATAGGAGAACTTGCCCAAGCTAAAGTAATTTATATCTTCATATCAGATGACACTGGTGAGGTTTTATTATCTCTTGGAGCGCACGAAAGGAATTTCCTATAATGTTCGTGGAACATCGCTCTGCTACGAGAAATTGAATAAAATTTATTTTGCACGAAATACAACTTTTTGTACCATTTTGTTATTGGTATAACAGGAATACTGTCGATTGTAGGTTGTAGGTGTTATACACACAGTATAACATAAGCGGATGGTGGTTGGTGATTATAAGTATGATGAATCACGGAATGCAGACCAGTTGAAGATAAGAGATTGGTAATTAGTCAGTCAGTTGTAGTCAGTGGAGTAACAAGGTCGTATTGATTGTGTGCCGCAGTACAATACTCGCCTATTACATATGTATCATCTCAGCTGTCAATCTTCATTTATCTTCAGTAACGAAACTTCATAATATACTTATTTTTCTGATTTTGATGTATTCCTTGTCATGTAGATATCAGATGACCCCCAATCACACTAGTGCCGCCACTTGGAAGCAATATCGGACAGTAACGGAGACTAACCCTACCTGGTATGAAAAAATAAGGGGCCATAACAGGTATTTCAGATCGTAATGTATATCCACCCTTCATGAATGCATAAATACTTCGAGGTAAATCTCATAACTAAAAGATCTGAAGAGGAATGAACAGGGTTGGTAGATCTTCCAATGAAGTAGTCAGGTAGTGCCATCTGTCAGCCGAGTGGTTTACTTGTAGTACCACTTTGCAACGTTGTAGACGTAGGGGCCCGCACGTTTTGACTAGAGATGACATCGTCCTACATTGTATGACGCGACTGAAAGGCCCTACCTTAAAACTAACGCCACCAGATGGCGATAGCATCACTAGATCATCATGCATTATCCGGTGCATTTATATACTTACGATATTGTAATATGGTGAATTTCGTTGGACAGACGAGGTAGCTGGTGGAGGGGAAGCACATCCCTCTGTCATCGGATGCTCATGGTACATAAAACTGTGTAGCATCGTGTTCTGGGGCAATGTACTTGGTTCCGATAATTGGAATGTCGCGTAGGGTGATATGTCTTCTGAAGTCTCTGTAACATTGAAATGTTAATATGAAAGGTTGTTCTGTAAATTAAAGGTACTTTGATGTACAAATGATCGATATGGGCTTTCCTGACGATTTGATTCAGTTGATGTGTTCATTTCTGAAAAATCGAACTTTTCAAGTGAAACTTCATGATCAACCATCATGGTGTTCGTCAGGGTGCAGTTTTAATCGCCGCTGTTGTACAGTTCATATACTAGCGATTTGCCGAGACCAGTGATGTTCAAGATGGCGCTTTTTGCTGATGATACGGCAGTTCTCGCATATTCGACAAATTTCGAGCAAGCAGCGTTGAATCTCCAAAGCGCGCTTAATTCTCTTCAGGAGTACTTCCTAAGATGGAAGATCAAATTGAATCCTGCAAAAACACAATTGGTCGCACTCGGAAGGGAGCGGAGGCCTCCCAGAACCAGAGTAGTCCTGGATGGTCTTCACAAGTTAAATACTTAGGTGTGTGCATTGACAAAAAGCTCAACTGGGCACAGCACATTGAACAGCAAGTTTCAAAAGCTAAACGAGCCATTGGAGCCCTGTATATCCATTTCTAAACAGACGAAGTAAATTGGGTTTGAGACAAAAATTTAATATTTACATCATGGCTATCAGGCCAATTTTACTGTATGCCTCGGTATTTTGGGGCCACACAGCTAAATCTCATGTCACCAGATTACAAACATTACAAAACAAAATCGCGAGAATGGTGACAGGATCTTCTTGGTATGTTCGGAATAACCAGATCGCCAGTTATCTGAAACTCCCTTCAATCGTGTCCTCATTATATTATGATTATGACCCAGGTGATCAATCAAAGTTCAAAAGACCGAGATTGTCCATGAACTAGAGAAAATATCAACATTATGACCAAATTTACTTCTCTCATGTTTTTGATATTGATTTGTTCCGTTCGATCTTTTTCAATTCTCAGAATCTTATCTGGGGCTGTTCGCATCAAACTTCAATACCGTTTGCATTTTGTTTTTTTTTGTTTCATGATAGATATCAGGATGAGAGGGACTCTTTCCTGATCTGGATCAATTAAGAGAAAAAATATCATCAGACGACCTTGAACGGGACATACATTTGCAAATTGAACCTCAGGTTTTTCGACTGAATCAACTTGTGATTCTCCAATATTTGATCAAGTCGTCTAGCTACAGTAACATCCTACAAAACGCATTGAAATTCGAATTCAATACATCTGTACATGTCTATGTTATAAATTATCTTGAAGGCTTCTGCTTCTAAGTGTCTCGCTGTTATTTCGACGTGACTTACTAAAGGTCTTCATTGTTCGCAAACTAAAAATGAATTCCCACTCACCTGGTATTTTCTCACCAGCTTGTAGCGCCACCTTGTGAATCGTGGCGTAATAGCGCTCCCTCTGGGCCTCTGCGTTCTGTTGGTTGTCCAACTGCTCCTTGTTCGCCTCGTTTTGTCCTGCAACATAACCTATTTTAAACGATCGATTCCGATCCTGTCGAACGAATAAGATCCAACTCACGTCTTCGCATGCAAATCAGAGCACCAGCTACCGACACCACGATTCCAACCACTAGAACTACCAGGGGTATCACGACTTTCATGTCAGAGTAGAAGGGTTGATCGTCGCTACCTTGTTTCATCAAATCTGGGGGTGGGACATCTAGAAGAACGAAATATTATAGATACATGTACATAGATAAAATTGATACGTTCGAATATCAGTCGTCATCTAATTTGGCAAATGTTGGGTGAATCTAATCTCTGGGTGAATGATCTTTCACAGGGCATTGTCGACATTTTCGGATCCCGGTGTATATTTTCTGCGATTCGATTAATCCTATTTTAATATCCCATATCATCCAAGAACTTACTGCCATCTTAATGATGTAATGGAGATGACTTCGATTCGTTCTTTCTACCCTCAACAGAGATAAATACAAAAAAAAACTCGTAGATAAAGGAAATAGCAAAAATCTTTGTCAGTGTGGTCTAGGCACGGTGATTGTTGGGAATTCAAAAGGTGACAGTGATTCAACTTTTGGTAGAAGAAATATGGCGTCTCCACGCCACAAGTCAGGTTAATGTGTGTACAAGTCCAAAATTTTCTAATTATCTGATCTGGATTGAAATGCAATATTTTATGTGAAGTTTAATAAGTGTGTGTGAGAAATATCAGGTTCTTTCATCTCTACGCCGGTGTAGAGGCAGGACGATGACGGATTCGTTGGATAAGGGGGGCCATACTTGAAGTCAAACGTGCTCCATTATCTCTACGCCGGTAGCCAGGCCGGATCAGCAACGGATTTGCTGGATAAGAGGAGTACATACGATCGAATCTCATGAACACTGATGACTTGGCTTCAGGCCATTGCCATTGTGATAGAAAATCGGTGTTTTATGTGGCGAGTCGAGTGATAATATTATTACATGACCAAAAATTTATTCTTGAAACAAAAAGTGATTACCTCATCTGGAGAAATTGTTACCGGAAGGAAACAGAACTCCAATAAACCCAAAGAGAAGAAGAAGAAGTTACCATTCATGCCAAATTTATTTGTTTGGTATAATAAGATGTATATAAATTCGGCGTGATTTTTATTCAAGTAGTGGAACATTTTGTTAAGTTCAGTGAAACGTATCGAAGTGTCATAGGGATTTCGTACTCGAGGTGAGTTTATTTTATTTACAAGGATGTAAAGTAGCATTTATACGCCTAGACTATTCGATTGACTTATTCACATAGTGTTATTGTTATTCCCGACATTTTTTTGTGTTTCATGATACCGTAGAAATTTATCAACACCGACGTTCCCTCCGTTATTAGGTCGGCGAGTGGCGCAGATACCATTACCGCAATCAATTTTACCGGACGGATCAGCAAAGTGATAAGTACCGCATAGTGGACATTTATTAACTGGATCGCCTACTGAAGTACCTATAGAGCATCGCTGTCATTCTGCGGAATTTGGAGACTGCGGCTTTAATTCGAAATATTTCATCTACCAACCATTCAATATTTGTTGAACGTACTAATTTTGTACATTAGTAAATAACTTTGTATTAGATATGAGATTTTTTTTTATTGATAAGGAGAGTTTTGAATATTACTACGTGGCGCCGATGGTTGATGAATTCTAAGGTTGTATATCAAACACTCAGATTTCATTCATTAAAATCTGTTAGTTATTATAGTGCATTCTTTTTCTGTGCGATTAAAATTATTTGGTTCAAACTTTTCAGACTATTCATGGCTATCTGAGGTTTAGTGGTTTTATCTTATACCGGTATGTTCATGAATCACTTGGTGGCCTCTGGCATAATCCTTTTTTTTTTATTCATACAATGCATCACCAACACCTGACTCAATTGAGTATAGTCGGAACATACTTGGACTTGCTACCACCGCTGTTGTCCGAAAGTTACTTAACAAAATCTACCATATAATTCAGTTATATTATGTAACGCATAATAGAAAAGTGCAATGTCTCGAAAAAACATTTTTTCCCCTTTTACTTGGATGTGAGTGTCACAGGGTGATGAGATGGCAGTAAAAGGAAAAAGCGGATCTAGGGATCTCGGGAATATATAGATGGGGTCAAAATATCACCAGTACTTCAGATAACTTTTATTTTCTAAAATCATTCCTTACCAAGTTACGAGCCCTCAAAGTTACAAAATGAAAAATGTTTTTCTTCGATAACTTTCAAAGGGAATATTCAAAATCTTCCACATTTTGGTGATTGACTAAATCAATGAATTCCTTCGATGAGCTTTCGATGGTCCACTCTATACAACTTCATTTTTCAATATTTTTCAACAAAACAAGGTTACCTGAACAATTTCCTGGATAAACGTACCCGTGTGGAAAATCGATCATAGCAATGATTTTTGATAAAAATGCACTTGTCGACGACATCAAACACGATCGTTTACTATTATTTGAAATGAAAAATTTTCACAGCTGAAATAATTATGATAACGTTAATTCAACAAAATTCATAGTAGGAATAATACAAAATATGGTAAAATAAAGTCCTAAACACACAGTACAGTACCTGGGCCCGAAACTTGGTAACGCAGGATTTCAGAAAAAAAGTTAAATGAAGTACTGGTGATATTTTGAACCCATCTATACATTCCCGAGAGGGAACTGGTACTGGTACTGGTACTGGTGGGGGACGTTTCCACGTCAGCAACTAGTCCCCAATGGGACCTTTTTGCCAACCCCAAGTGTTTTCAATGACTGATGTGGTTCGCTCAAGAGAGCTGGCTAACATCCTTTTCAGGCACCGCCCATCAGCTCTCTTCAGAGTTTTTCAGCTGTGTTTTGTAGGCTAGTAATGTACTCACTACCATATGCGCAGTGGCAGGCCTGCTAACTATCATCGTTAACCCCCGAGACCGAGGTCTACTTAAGCAGCTGGCCCGCTCTCACGCTCAGCTGGTAGTTTTTCCACACCCACCTACATACACCGTCCTACTTCTTCTCTGATGCTCACAACCACATCATCATATCTTTCTGCGTGTTCTGTGTAGGCTTTGTTACTAACTCCATGCGCCACTTTAGGAGCAGCACTGTTAATTGGAACGCAACAGCGAATCGTGCAGGACTATCCCCAGCCGATGCTCCGAAACTTTACAATATTTAATTCGTAAATAAAATATTGAAAAAAGTTCCTTGCCCGTGCTGGAAATCGAACCCACGACCTTGCGGTCGTGAGACGGACGCTCTTCCACTGCGCCAATCCCGGCCCTCCCGAGAGGGAAAGTGGGAGTCTAGGGACACCCTGTATATTGTTAGATCTTTACCCCGGACAATTTCTCGCCTTATATGGCATAAGAAAGATACGATAAATTATTTTACCTCCTTCTTTGGTCAGCGTCATGAAGACGAACTCTTCAGTGGAAAACCCTGCTACGTTGTGAGCCTCCATTTTGATGACGTATTGAGTAGCAGGAGTCAGTCCGGTTATAGAAGTTCGTCGTTGAGGCTTCAGGACATTCGATACTGCAACAAACGTCGTATTTGCCTCAGAAATGGTTTCACACTTTCATGAATCTTATCAACACATGGTTTAAGTTGAGTTGAACATTTTATTCTGGGTTTCGTTAGTTATTTGAACATGAAACTGGTATAATATAGATAGTGTTTATAGCAATGTTTGAAAATATACTCGGATATAACTTGAAAAAAAAAATCAACATTAACTGGAAAAAAAAACAGATGATTAAATTACTATATCCAGTATCTTCATCAGGTGACTACTTTGACCAGTATAACTAGTAGGATGAAACGAGGAAGTAGCTGTAGTAGAGGTATAATTTCAAAGCTAAATATAACGTGTATCACAAATTTATATCACAAAGAAAGAGCAACTCAAAGCCATTACCACAATAGTTCATGAAATGAACGAAAATGGTATTTGGCTTTCTCCTAGTTGACGAATGGTCCCGTAAATTCGAAACATAGTGAACATTTTCATGCTATCATGTCATACCCGCATTCTCGCAAAATTACGAAATGGAACACCAAAATCAAGCACACGAATGAATCAAACAAACCAAAAACTAACGAACTTGAAATTAGATAAGTATAGGTAGTAGAAACATAGTATATTGTTCAATGAGCACGGAATGATAGTGATTTCCCACGAGAATGAAGTTTGCAATCATTCGAGTGGGAAATTACCATTCCGTGCGAGTTATAAACTATAATTTTTCTACGGCTGTAACAGATAACAACGACATTTTTGATTTCTTCGTCTTGTAGCAATCTGATTTCCTCTCAAGCAATACTAATCTAATTGACAGAGCTGCCATTGCTTGAAAACTTGACATCCCATGGGCGATAAGTTTGTTTTTCGAAATAATAACATTATGGAGTCATTGGATACGGAAATAAAATTATTGACATGCAAAATATCTCATTGATGTATTGAACGCAGTGAAACAAGAGCAGTTTTGTGTTATAGCCATAGAGAAATATACTTCCTTCAATACAAAATTCAAATCGAAATTATAATTTGTCTGAGGTGACGTCAGCGCAATAACAAACAAACCTACACGAATCTTTTCTATCTCTGGTCAAGTATTTGACTGGCATTCATATTTTGGGTCAGTGAACAGACAATAATATTTTGCTATTTTGGTCACTTATGAGCCGGCGTATCAGCCTTCCAAGGAATGACGTGGACTGCTAGAAAAAAATACTCCCTCAATAGTATTTCCACTCACCAAGCGTCCATTGCAATTCGGTGGCTTTCCTATACTGCAATATGAAATACAGGATCGAGCACCCGTTGTCGGGCCACACGTGCAGCCGCAGCACGACCGAGGTCGAATTCGGAGCCACGAAGGAAGACGTCGACGGCACCCCGGGCGGATGGCCCTGAGTCCGGGCCTGCAAAGGATGGCTGGCCGGCGAGCTGCCTATTTTGTTGTGGGCCGTGAGGAAGAGGTGGTAAGACGTGCCACAAGAGAGGCCCTGGAAAATCAAGAGCAATGTAGTGACCAGATCTGCAGCTTATTTAGATAACTCTCAATTACCTTATGAGAAACAATATTTGACCAATGACTGATCAATGGCAACAATATCCACATTACAGAAAACAAAATTGTTCCACCTGGTCCCTAATAATCACTTATTGAATATTGGTATCTTGCGAGGTGCTTCAGTACTAATAAGAATATCCTGATATTCCTAATAATGATCGCTGAACTATAATGATCGAGATTTTATTTAAATCCAAATTATTTTGTGGCAGTGGTAAAAGTATAATGCTTAGAGTTCACAGAAGTACAAGGAGGGAAGGAAAGTCTAACCTAACAACAATATCGTCTGTCACCTTCATCTTCAAATCCTTTTATCCAGTGAAGTTTAACAAATTCTATGAATATTCAAAGATAATCCTCAGAATATCTGATTCTTCAGCTATGTGTTGTGTTCTCTGTTATCTGCATTCAGGTATTCAACTCAGAAAATCCATTTCATATTCTGATGAGAATGACAGAATCAGAAATATTCTTGCACTTGTTTTACAGAAATAGAGAATAGATACGTAAGTCGAATCATATATGGTTGCATTGGATTGTTCAAGGTCACGCGTTTTCCCACGTTCCTCATGTTATGAAATATTGTGAATTTCAATAATTATAAAAAAAATTTACAGAGCTCAGAGGAAAGAACAGCTTGCATCAGTGAAGTAGTTAGGGTTAGAACTTCGTAATAATGAAATGAAATGTTTCACTGACACTTGCCTTCAATTCATAGCTTGTGGCATGTCGGTTGAGATGAATCTCTTCGATGTCTCCGTGTTCTTTCTTGTAGTTCAGAACGAAACCGCTGATAGAAGCACCACCGTTATTACCAGATTTCCAGTGCAGAAGTACACTGCTACTAGTCGCACTCGTGACGTATAGCAGCGGAGCTGAGGGGGGAACCTTGGAAAAATAGAAGAAAATTCAATTATCAAACAGTGGTATCAAGTAAGTAGATAATGTGATCTTTGATGCTGTCACATATATTACTATTCAAAATTGATGCAAATCTGTTTCGGAAATGTATATTTCTGTTTCCTCACTACTTTATTATGTGATAAGTATACTATACCTGAACAACTAGATGATATATTATCCTATCACTGCCTTGGCCGTTGTCTACGTGACATGTATAATTTCCAGCATCTGATATCTGCAGGTTGGACAGAATCAATTCCCCTGTGTCTAGTAACTGTATATTGTGAGCAGCACCTCCCTGATGAAGGACAAAAAATAATTATGATAGGTATTCACCACGGATCGATGATTCTCATTTTCGACAAAACCTCGTTTATTTAGCCAGAATATGAAAATAAGTCGCTTTCATCGAGAAGGAACAGTTTTATCATATTAAAAACCCACTAAGCATTTGGAAGCTATGTTGATGCACGGTTGTAGCAATTACTGAAACGGACGTTCAGCAATATTGCAGATGAAAATTTGTAAATGTAACGTTCCAGCAATGCCACAGCAACATGTAACATTGCTGCAACGCTACATTATCGAACTTCACCTTTGCAGTATTGCTGAACGCCCGTTTCAGTAATTGCTTCAACATTACATCAACATAGCTTTCAACTTTGCTTTGTGGGTACCGATTGATTTTCTAGAATCCTATACATTGCTATTGGTTGAAATCACTGAAATTTGAGATTTTGACAATCGAAAAATAATCGTTTCTGAATGAACAAATGTTACCTTCAGTATCAAGTCGCCTCTTAGCCATTCTCTCCTTGGGGACCCGACTGCTTCGCAATTGAAGGATACCGAGTTACGCCAGGGTCTTACTACTAGGCCTCCGAATGATATTATTCTGGAAGGAACTGCAGACATGAAATTAGAATTGCATCAGCATAATGAAGAACATGTGGAAATGAGCTACTGAGTAAATATACCCACATCATAGGGACAGAGGTCGATGATGTTTCACCTCGGGACACAAACATCATCTATAAGATTCAGGTAAGTAGCAAAATTAGAGTTAGCCATAACTATTACCTAAAAGTGATTTTAGATTCAAACTGAATCAACATATTATTCTATTTGTTATATTACACATATATCTTCAGAAGAATGCAAGAAAACTGAAAATGCAAATATTCAGGTACCTTTTCCATTCAGATCGATAATGGTAAGGCGAAATATGACAAGTTATTATCACAAAGAGATTCAAAAATAGATAGATAGATTTATTCATGTTACTACACAATAGTGTTTATGCATACGTCAATAAATAAATAAAATGAAATGAATATAATGAGACATAAATACATACAACAATGAAACAATGACAAAATAGTTTGAAGTTTAGTTTCGACGTGAAACAAATACTAGATATTCATCATTTGTGTAAAAACTTTCGTCAATTAGAATATTTTTGACTCGATTCTTGAATTCATGTAAACTCATAGCTCGACCTCTGAGTTCGTCTGGAAGAAAATTGAAAAATTTCATGGCGAGATATTTGAATGAAGATTTGGTATTTGAAATTCTTGGTTTCGGTAATCTTATATTCATCTTTCCTTTTTTATTATATCTGTGAATATCTTCATTTCTAGTTATTCGAGATCGAGTATCAGACATTTCTTTCTTATTCATGTGAATGAGACATTCGTATACGAAGCATGAGGCTAGTGTTAAAATTTTGAATTGTTTGAATAATGGTTTGCAATGTTCTGTCTAACTTACTCCTGCCGTTATCCTTTGAACATATGTCATTATAGAATGAAATATTGAGAAACTCTGAGATATTCATCAGTCAGTTTACCCATTTTACTTGATTTCCTGGGACTTTCCTCGTTTCGATAAAATAAAAATGTTCTTATTATTTCAATATCTTTGTAGTGGGACAAATTCGATGATTTGCCCCATGATGTCACTGCGTTTAACAAATTTTTCTATCAGGGAATATTAAAAAATCAACCATAATATATTACATAAAATTTAAAATGTAGGTATAGGTATGATAATTATTCTAGTAATTCTCAGAGTTTGAGCTGATCCTTGTTTGAGTGAATGAATGATTAAAATAATTGATATGTTATATGATCTCTATATGGATGACATGACAAAATTCAGACGAATAAATATTTTTCAAGTTCTTTCTTGAATTTTTTGGTACTGATATTTTTTTAAAGTCTTCTTGGCTATTCATTGTAGAGTAATAATCCATTGTAATATATACGTTGATGTTGTTAGACGCTTACATAATTGATCAATGTGAAGCGAAAAATTCAGACCTTGCGTCTGAACCATTGTTCAACTTGAAAATCAGAAGTTGAGTCATTATTGAGAGTAAGATAATTACTCTCATTCCAAATTTGAATCATTTGTTCAATGTTGGACATTTTGTCATTGAGGGTTTTTTCATTTTGATCACAGTGGACTATAGACACGTCATCAGCATACCCAATAGGATGTATACCTTACCTTCACTAACAGAACATCAAATCATTGACATATATAATAAAAAGTACAGGTCCTAAAACCGCCACGGAGACGAAACCAAACTGAGTGAGAGGTCATAATATGTTAGTCTCTCTCCCGCAAGGAACCGAGGAGATATTCAATACTCCCCAGGCAACCAGATGACGTCACTATGACGTACTTTCTATGACGAGATAGTCACGTCATCGTTTCGACATCGAGTGAACGTCACTTAGATGGGTAAAAGAAGACGTCAGTTTCATGACGTTGCAGGGACGTCCTGTCGACGTCCATTTTACCAGACCTTCTCTAAACCATGGATACTTATATATTATCATGTGAAACAGAAGTATAACTCATGAAAGTAAATCAACATGCAAGTTTCATTGGAAATAATATACCCGAAAAGTATAGGGGACATTTTTTTTTTCTAAAAAACTGTGACACACTGTATATCTCGGAAACCAACAAGCTATATATATATACAAATGTTTGTTGAGGTATACCTATATTGAAACCGGTACTCTTATGACGTTGCAGTGACGTATCTATGACGTCTAAAAATCACGTCGGTGTGACGTACCAATTTGGTGAGCTCCGTCATTCAGAGATTTTTTCAAAAACTTGCTATTTAGATTTTTATTGGGTGACCAAGAATGCATCAATATACATTATTCATCAAAGTGAAGCCAAATTCCCAACATCCTTATTTTCATTGCTATCAAACTATTCTTTGTTTGCTTACATCTCGCCGACACAAGCTTCATATTTTTTTATTCAAATACGAGTAACTGATTGCATTCTGATGGAGATGCGTACTGAAGGATAGCGCTGCTGAATAGGCGATTGAATGAACATGACACAGGAGGGACCCACCAAGCAGACTCAACAATGCATAATCAATATTATATTACGTCAGTCGGACGTCACAGTTTGGTGAGTGAATGACGTCAATACGACGTGAGTAATATGACGTCATTGGGCTGTGACTTATTCACGTCATTATCTGACGTCACCTTGGTCATTCAAGTGACGTGAAAAAGATGTCACTGGAACGTCATCTGGTTTCCTGGGTCGCGTCTCACCTCTGGGCGTGGCCACCTGCGACACCACCTTGGACTTCTGGCCCTCACCCATCCTGGTCGACGCCGTCACCCAGAACTGGTACTCGATGTGCGACTGCACGCTCTTCACCTCGAACGCCGTGTGCTGGCCGGACACCGTCTGTCTGGCGTTGTCGATCTCCGTGCGGCCGTCCATGCTCCTGCGGTACAGGTTGTACTTGGCGACGACGCCGTTGGGCTCGGCGGGTGGCAGCCATGACACCTTGAGGGACTGCGGCGAGCTGACGACCACTTTGATGTCGGCCGGCGGGCCAGGCACTGAAAACGGAATTATTAACACTAGCGTCTGGAGAAAGGAGGACATAAATAAGCAACGTAATGAGAGAAATTAGCGTCTGGAGAAAGGAGGACCGAAGGGTGACATCAATTTGGTTTTATCAATGGGACAACCTGTACATTATTGCATTTTTAAATTCTCCCTAAAGAGCTTTTTGTGTCGAAACATCACAGGAAAATTTATACACTTTCCCACTTTTTGTAGATGGGGCTATCTTATTTGGACGAAACTTCAAACAATGCCTTCTGATACTTTGAAAAGAGCTGAACGTTCTTGTATTAACAGTTTGATCCCCATTTTTATTTTTACTTGTATGCAACGCACGCAGACCAACCTATAACTATAAATGAGTAGATATTCTGAAAACAGTTGAATGTCAACCGACTATACACTCCTTTCCTTTTCCCTTGATACATATAATTCAGCGCCAATTGTAGGTATTGGCTATTCACCTACCAATGATAACCCTAACAACACAGGGATGTCCAAGGTACGTCCCTTTTTTGTCCCGCGGTACAAGGAAATGATTGGGACATCCAGTGGATGTCCCGCAATGGTTGTTCAGTGGACATCCCGCCCGGTACATCTCTAGGTTATCCCATCCGTGTCTCTGGAATATCTGATATCCATTCACATCAGAGAGTCATTGAATTATATCAAAACATTGAGTCGAATTTTTACAAAAGTGTATTTCTTCCGGAAAATAATTGTAATAAAAATAAAGAGTATGGTCTTAGAACTTCTCAAGAAATGACCATTTTTAGCAAACATAAATCGTAAATGCATAATGCCCCTCATTTTAAAACACTCAATAATGATAATCATTATACCCGAATCCTAACAAAATTTTATTTATTCAGGTTTCTCCTGTTTATAAATCTGTTCATATATGAATCTTCAGAAGGGATATTAGCCAATGGAGTAAGGTGCGTGCTTGATAAGCTGAAGGTCCTGGGTTCAATCCCTACTCGACCTAATTTTTTTTTACTTTTGTCGAAGGAATGTCCCTGAGATATCCTTGGGACGTCCTAGGGATATCCCTTCTCCGTACTCGGTACATCCCAGGGACGTAACAAAAGAGACATCCCTTGGATGTCCCTTCTATCTGAAAGCGGGTGTCCCTGGGACGTCCCTAGTATGTACTTTGTCCCAAAAAGGATATCCCTGGGATGTCTTAGTTCGAAATCAGGGACGTCCCCATGTGTTAGGGAATCTCATAAACACGAATAACATTCTGATAACCTTCAGGTTTGAAAGATTCACTGGACGCTTGACGAGCTGACAACCACTTTGATGTCGGCTGGCGGCCCAGAAACTGGAATCGGAATAATCCGTGGGTCCATGGATACGACACGTACTTTCCGATTTCTTCCGTTTCAGAAAAGCACCGAGAAAATGTGAAAGAGTTGCCAAAATCACAAACTTCATGATCAAATGAACAATAACAATTAATTGTTCAAGTGTTTTGAATAACATGATATCTGCGCAAGGTTGAAACACAATCGTTTTTTTTTAATTTGAGGAAGTATCACATTCCATCCATGTGGTCGAAGTACTCGATGCTGAAGGCCGATCTAACAAGTGAGTTGAGAGGATACAAAGCATATAGAATGCTGAAGTATAGGAAATAACACACGTAGAAGATTTATTGAGCTTGCGATAAAGAATATCTGATGATCAAGGTAATAATATCTCGTAACCTTTTAGACAGTTTAGATAATAAACTTTGAAAAATTTCTGTTCACTAATAATGGGAATGTCTGGTGCCAGTCGATGCTGTCAATTGACGAACTTGAAAATTACTGATGTACAATGTACAGGGGCGCATATCTTGTTGTTTCTATACCAGATACTAAGACTCACATTTCACGAAAATTCATAATTATAGAAGCAGGATTCTCCATCAATACTGTGGAAACGTATGGAAAATAAATGTCCTCAGGTCCGAAGAAGTTACCCGACGACATATTATTTTAACGATACGCTAATCAGAAATGTATACCTCATCACAACCTGCAAACGCAGAAGCTTACAGTGGATGGTGGGTAGAGAAGCTCAGCTGTAGCAGAAAGTTTTATCGAGGATTTCATATCTAATAAGCTTGTTAAAGCAGAAAACCGAGGTTCTTTTCGTACTAATCGTTCCTTACAAGAGGAGGAGACATCCATTGATTCTAATTGATTCTAGAGATTTATCAAAAACTTCGACAGGTACTATATCGCCGTTCCAGAAAAGCAATGACGTAACTGCAACATTTTTTGAAAATGAGTTATACCCACCAGGAGATAGAGAAAATCTGAATCCATATGGTAAAATAATGCCATAATTTTATTAGTGTAATATTTGGCCGCTTGATGTAAGTTACGTCGTCATGTAATTTGTATCAATTGGCACCATTTCACTGGAAAAAAAACTGTCGCAATGGTCAGTTGTGAGAAGTTTTCTATAAAGGGTTGACGCAAGTTATTTTTTTCCAGTACAAAAACGCCGTAAATGTATCTTGAGAGTATTAGATGTGATGTTTAATACATTATTTTGGAGAAATATCGACTTGAGTGTATTTTGAGTCATATAAAAAAAATAATGCCATAACTATCCCATGCGTCATTTTCTCCTCTGAAATATTATCTGGTTCTAATCTTAATTGCACTCTCAGGCCATATTACATCGGATTATTTAGATTCTGAATGCCCCAACTGTTCTTTGGACAAATGAATTGAAACATTCCAATCTTCCAAACGAAATGATATAGATATTTCAGGTCGAGAAAATACGACGGCTTGAAACTGGTATCCTAAAACAACTATTATTCACAATATTATTTGGATAATTTATAGATCTCTTATTTGTTTTTGATAATTCCTAATATTCATATAATTCCAGCTGTAAATTAGACATGCAGATAAAACATTTTCAGTTTCCACTGTTGTAACTGAAAATTAAGCGCGAAGATTTGTGAAATGGAAAGCTGTTTAAGTATGTAAGTTCAGAGCCGTCAAAAGAAGAAGTCGTTCTGAGATTATACGCACTCACCCTCAAACTTGAATCTCTGACATCAAAGGGTTGTGAATCTCTGGTTGAAACAAACATCATTTTCGAATTACAAATTTTCAGCTTCTTATTCTTATTATTATTTTTTTTTATTCATTTGAAATTTCGAACTCAGAGTTTTTCTCACAGGGGTAATCATCCGAGGATTGTTTATTGATGTTATAATTACAATTATTACCTACATTAGTGCAATTCATCATTTTGAAATTATTTTCCTTGGAGTAAATGATTCGAAAATCTCTCTACATCTTTGTCCAATGAATTTTAGAGGATTCTAATTTATACCATTGCTCATGAGTGAACAAAAAATATCCTCTGGAGTTGAAATCAACGAGATCCTTCATCTCTTTTCAGTTTTAAAAAGAAGGAAATCATTAAAAGTGTTGACACAATTGGCTAAGATGTTTTTTCTTTCAGCATGAATAAAGACATAACTTCAAATATCCATATCAAATTTCAAAATATCATCTCTCTGAACATACTACATTGAAGTATGAGGGTCTACTCCCAATATATCGAAGGTTCAAACTCATAGTCTAAATCGCCTATTTGGAAATCAAAAATTTGATATTTTGAATTCGTTTTATCATTTTCCTGTGAAATTACATTTTTTGCATTTGCGTCATTATTTTTCTGGAGCAGCGATATGCGATCTGAAATCGATGACATCTACCAGCTTCTAATCAATGGAAACGAAGTGGATTATGATAAAACAACTCAATTTCTATTGATATAATTGTTAATGTTGATAATTACTAATCAATAAGTAGAATGTGCGGTGATTGTGGATACATTATTATAGACTTCTCAAACTTGAAAATACTACTCGAACTCACCGTCCTCCTCTGTCTGGCAATACGACGGGGCAGTGAGCACTCCGTCACCGACTTTGGTGAACGCCAATACTTGCAAACTGTAGTTGGTGAACTTCCTTAATCCGGTGATTACCGTTGTCAGCGCGGTAGTTTTCCTCGTCTCCATCTCGTCGCTGCCTGCAAAAGTTCGAACAATGGTTGGCCATTGGAGTACACGGCACGGTACAAGTTTTGCCAGCGAATATTACGAAGAAGCTGGAACGTTATACAGGAAGTGAATGAATGAAAGCGAAACAATTCTGGAGGTGATACTTTGTCCTTGAAAACCTTGAAAACTTTGAAAAATTTCCATAAATTTCATCATCCTGAAATTTGTGCAATGATTCGTGAAATAAATACATTCGTATTGGCGAAATAACACACAGGAATTAAGACTACTGTTTGAGGAAAGACATATATATGTTCACACAGGCCTATTGGCCTAATTACATGAATATATACTTTATTCAATCCGTCCGTCACAGAGTACAGATGTGAGTGAATGTGCCCCTAGAACAAACTGATACTATTTGGTATGTAATTTTGATAAAATTCTCCAAAACAAGTTGATCACAAGAAAATATAAATTTCACTGTATATCAAAGGATAAGTGAGAAAAACAGACTGCCAATAAGTAGTACATAAAAACCCGCCACTTCGAAATATTCGAAACAAACGGTTCTTATCGGCAAGATAGACAGTGTTTTTCATTTTTACCATTTCGTTTCGAATATTATAAACTGAGCCATATACGTTCAAATTACGCCGAAGAAATAATATGGAAATCACAAATAAACAACTTCTTGAGGAAATAATTCGCTGTAATAAAGATCTGAAAGCAACAATAGAAGCTGTTGAAGTTAGGGTTACCTTGAAAATAGAGGAGATAAAGCATAGGTTAGAGAAAGTCGAAAAGGAAAATCAAGAGCTGCAAACAAAAATAGAATCACTCGACAGAGCAAACAGAAAAAACAACATCATAATATTTGGATTGGAGAGGGAAAAAACCGAAGATTTAAATAGTGGGGAAATTATTGAACTGCTGAAAAATCTATCAGATATAAATATTGTCGAAGCTGACCTCAATAATTTCTATAGACTTGGAAAGACAAGTAAAAGTCCAGTCAAAATAGAGTTCATTTCTTATTTGAAAAAATCTTTGGTTCTCAAGAACTGCAAAAAACTAAAGGGAACTCGAATACACATTGCCGATGATTTAACCCTCACCCAAAGAGAGGAAGGAAAAATATTGAGAAAACATCTGTTTCTTGCAGAAGAAAACCAAGAAATCGACTGCTACATCAAGAACAACAAACTGTATGTAAACAAAAAATCATTCACTGCTGCCGACCTCGAAGCTACTCACGGCGATTATTACACCAATCAAAACAAACCACATAGTGCCCCAGGAACTCCAGTTGCCAAAGAAAATCCCCCTGTCTTTCAAAAACCCAATTCCCAAAACATCGAGAAAACTCAAGACATCCCAAGTACAAAATCTGCTGTTCCAAAGAAGACACCGAAAGATACTATAATAGAAAAACCAAATACTAGGAAGAACTCTGCATCAAAGTACTAGCTGCATGAAAATCGGAACAATTCATGTATATTTTACCGTATTTTTGTCCTATATTGATTTTTGTTTATTTCTTTATTACTGTCCTGTGATATATATTCATTGGTTCTAGAAAATTTTAACCGTCTTATAAAAATGGATCAATATATAAGAGATTTTGATTTTCCTGAATGTGTAACAACAGAAATAAATGATGAAGAAGAATCACAACAAATAGATCTCGAAACGAAAACCGAGCCAAATTTTTCAATTTTTCAGGCAAACATAAGGAGTATAAATAAAAACTTCAATGAAATGTCAGTATTACTTGAAAAACTTCATTACCGTTTTGACGTTATTATTTTCACAGAAACATATGGTATATTGCAGATGTAGATTTTTTCAACTTACCAGGGTACAAAGCTATTTATAATTCAGGGGACTATAATCAGAATGATGGAGTAATTGTATACATAAAAAGTATTCTGAATTTTCAAAGTTACATACAAACCATAGCTTATATGAAGGTGCTGCGTGTTGTTATTGAAGGCAAAAAAAACATAATAATTGACACCCTTTATCGCTCTCCATCATCTTGTCCCTATGAATTCATCGAGAATTTAAGTCAATATCTGGAGAATCATTGTAAAAATAAAGAATACACATACTTTTTTGCGGGTGACATCAATATTGATATAAAATCTGATGCAGATTATAGCCAGGACTATTTGAATGTGTTAGGAGAACTTGGATATTATTCACTAATAAATAAGTACACTAGAATTCATAATAATTCTAAATCATTACTTGACCATATTTTTATAAAAGATTCAAATCAATTCATGAACTGTAAATCATATGTTCTCCGTTTCAACGTGACTGATCATTTTCCAACAGTTGTTATACTTCCGAATCAATCTTTTCAAATACAAGAAACACCTGAAACACGAATTAAAATTCTGAATGAGAAGAAACTTTTCGAAATAATGAAAAGTAAACAATGGAATGAATTATACAAGATGACCGATGTCAATACCAGTACTAATTACCTTCTTTCAGAAATTAAAAATGCTATAGAGTCCTCTACTACGTACAAAAAAATTAAATATTGCGATAAAAAAAGAAATGTTTGGATTACCAAAGGTTTGATGAAATCAGTGAATACTAAGCATATTATGTACAAACGATTGATGAAAAACCCTAATAACCCACAATAATTGTCGAACGAGTATAAAAGATATAGGAACAACTTAACAACTTTATTGAAACAAACAAAAGAAAACTACTACAGAAAACAGATAGAAAAAAATAAGAATAATTCGAAATCGTTATGGGATAATATCAAAAAGTTCACAGGTAAACAAAACTGTAAAATTAAGATAAGTAAAATCACACAAAACGGTACCACTACATCTGATAAAAAAGAGATAGCAAACTTGTTCAACAACCACTATGTAAATTTAGGTAAGAATATGGCAAATCAAATTATAAAACCACAGGTCTCCTTTGTACAAAGAAATGTAATAAATGTAAATATGTTCATGAAGCCAATCGATGCAGCAGAGGTAAATGAATTGATAAAAGAGTTGAAAAATCACAAATGCCCGGGAGTCGATGGCATGACTTCAGAAAACATGAAACTGATCAGAGAATTCATTAAAGAACCGTTAGCCTCTATTATCAATCTTATATTTGAGAAGGGGGAATTTCCAGACAATTTGAAAATTGCTATAATTAAACCGTTGTTTAAAAAAGGAAATCGGACAGATACTATAAATTACAGACCTATCTCACTGATCAGTACAATATCAAAAGTTATTGAAAAATCAATTAAAACCCGTCTCATGCAGTTCTTAGAAATAAACAATATTATTTCTCCAAAACAGTTCGGATTCAGATCGAACAAATCAACTGAAGATGCCATTGTTTATCTAACAAATGGAATCTATAGAGCTTTAGATGAAGGTAAATGTTCAATAGGTGTATTTCTAGACCTAGCTAAGGCATTCGACACCGTTAACCATCAGAAACTTCTTGACGTTATGGAAGACCTTGGTTTGAGGGGAACTGTGTCGAACCTTTTCAGATCGTACCTCCAAAATAGAATACAACATGTACAAATTGATGACGAGAGTAGCGAACCTAAAGAACTATCGATCGGAGTACCTCAGGGAACGGTACTAGGCCCAGTATTATTTTTGGTGTACATTAATGGCCTTCTTTCTATTGAAAAAAATTTGAGTATATCCTCATTTGCGGATGACACTGTCATTCTTTGTACTGCTAGTACTTGGAACGAGGTAAAGAACCAAGCGGAACAGAACCTCGAAAAAATAAGTAGTTGGCTTAGCGAAATGAATCTCACGTTGAATCTAGAGAAAACAAAATTTATGACATTTTCTTGTAACAAATCAAACTCACCAGATATTGAAACTCTCACTTTGAGAGTAAATAACACAGTTCATTTAATTGAAAAAGTTGAATCTATAACTTACCTTGGAATTGAAATTGATATGCACCTTAAATGGGATGTTCATATTAGTAAAGTAGTTAAAAAATTAAGATCTATCCTATTCACTTTCAAACACCTGAAGAATATTCTTGGCATAAAGGAACTCAAAATTCTATACCATTCACTTGTAGAATCCCATATTCAATATGGCATATCCGGTTGGGGGGGAGCATATAGTTGCCACACAAAAAATTTACAAGTTATCCAGAAATTCTTCTTGAAAATAATTTACAATAAAAATCGCACCTATCCTACTGAACAACTTTTTACAGAAATACCAGTTTTCAACCTAACTAAGCTTTACTATTACAAGGTCATGTGTCTACAATATAAAAATAAAAATCAGTTGACATTCATCAAACATGAACACAATACAAGACATAAAAAAAAATCTGAATTCATAACTGAAAAAACTGTGAAGAGTATAGGCCAGAGATCTTTTTACTTTACAGCTCCTAAAATTTTTTCACATATTCCGCAGTCACTAAGAGAACTTAATAACATAACTCTATACAGAAACAAACTGAAAATTTGGCTACGAAACTTATCGATATTTGATACCAACAAAATTACCAACTTCTATGATTTTTAATTCTAATGACAAATTTTTGTACTTATACATTCGAGCATATCAAAATACTTTTAAACCTTCGGCTGATTTTTAAAATTTCAAATTTCATTCACTTACTTACTCACTTTAATATAAAACATGTATTTCTGTGTTCCTAAGTGTGTTTCGTGATATGTATGTAATAAATATACTGAGAAGTGTATCCTGAATATACCCACAACAAGTTTATCTTCGTGGGATTTCTCTAGATTTATTTCCTTTTGTTATTTTATTCATATATGTAAATGATCCTCCACACTTTGTATCTAGATGAAGTTTATAATATTGTTTGTTTTGTATGTATGAAAAAATCAGATTTTCTCAGATTTAAATTTGTATTCTTGTATATATACTTTTTGTATAATATCTTTTTTTTTTTTCTCACATTTGTATTATTTCTCTTTGGAAATAAATTATTATTATTATTATTATTATTATATTATTAGATATATAAGAGAGATTTGTGCATGATTCGTGAAATAAATACATTCGTATTGGCGAATTAACACAAAGGAATTAAGAACACTACCAATTTGAGAATAAATACTATTATTAGTTGAAATAAACCGGCTGTTTGAGGAAAGACATATATTTATTTATTTATTTATTTATGTTCACACAGGCCTGTTGGCCTAATTACATGAATATATAAGTAGATATATAAGAGAGATACAGTAAATACCTACTATAGAAAGATTCGGGAAATAAAAAGAAGAAAAAAATCCGCAGAGTTGTAGGGGACAGCAATACGAAGTACGAAGTGTTATTAATATAATAGTACTTACATGGATAAGTATGATAACATTTGTTGAATAATCATTTTTCTAAATCTACTGAATGTCATAGACCAGTCTAGATCAGTTAATGAATTTGTATAATTAGCTAATTTGACCATGTTTACAAGAGGGGAGTGAGATATTGTGGATATTGATGAGGTATTGAACACCAAAGGAAATTTGGTTCTGCGATATTTATCGCTAACCACCGTTGTATTTGGCATAAATAAATTCAAACCAGACCAAATATATACAATATACTGGGTGTTTCCGAAACTGGGGCGATCAATGAAATGGATAATAGGAGACGAGAAAATAAAACGAAATGAAAGAATAAGTACATTTTTGTCGAAATTTGGAAGATATTCAGCTTCAAAGTTTGCCTCAAATTTTTGTAAATCATTGATCAGAGGATTTCAAAGGTTAGTAACTCAACCCAAGCGTTTACTTTCGGCGAGACCACAAGCACCGGAAGTATCATCAATGACTTTTGCAATGTTGCCGGACGTTAAATAATAGTTGTATTTTATCGTATCATTATATTTCATAAAACACATCACCATTTTATTGATCGCCCCAATTTCAGGAACACCCTGTAGAAATGTTTTCATCAGAGGATCAAGATTATCATTATTCCTTCCACAGATAACAGGTTTTGTTTTCAATCCAACTTTATGTGCATTAAATTTGAATAATTATGCATTTTTCTGTATGGCATTCAATTTTTTATTCTATTTTTCCTCACTTCGAAGGTTTTCTATGTATCTCAATGCTTGGTCTCAAATCAAATTGATTTATTTCAAATTTCAATATGTCACTCCTAATTTGAGGATATTTATTTAATCTCAATATGATATTAATCTCAATTCAGAGTTTAGAGGATAACTGATACAAAATGATACTCTTAGGAAATATTCATCAAACTTAATATTATTACGAAATGCAACGCTAGATGCGGATGCGATGAACTTTCTATAAGAAACTTATGGAAATTTACTTGCTGCAAGTAGGAAGTTTCAGTGGTAAGGAAACGGTCTAGTAATTCTGAAGTTAGATGTGGTAAAAGTGGTTGGCCGAGTCAATCGAACCCGTAACAAAGGAAACCTAGTTGGAGATTATGAATGAATGTTTGCTTACTGTGTCAATTAATTTAATGGAGTGTGTAAGATTCAGGAACAGCTTGTTAACTCGAGGAATCAACTCTTATATTTCATCAGCTTAGCCATACGTTCCCATCGTATAAACACATTGAATATTCAATCTTTTGTCAAATGATTCATGCAACTGGCCCTCAGTCGGTCTCCCTGAGATACATTTAGTTCAATTTCAATATCATCATGCTTGTCTCCTGATTTGTTTGATTTCTCATGTTTTATATAAAATGTATCCATACATTCCAATTCTTCATTGAAAACTTCTGTATTGGCCGAACATGAGAGAAACACTTCAATTACATCTTTAAATACTCCCAATCAGTATTCCTTAAATACTGTAACTTTTTCATTATAAGTGACGAATTGGGATGCCTCATTCTGATCAGTGGTATTTATGTGTTGTTTAGTGTTTTGCTGTGGATAATCGAATCTTTCGAACATTGGAAGGATAGATGTGGACTATTCAATTGAAATCGCTTCTCTCTATTCATTGCTAAAAATTACCTTTCCAATTCTCATCCAGGACTGGCTCATACGTCAATTTGTAGCCCTGCAGGAGGCCATTGCAGTGCTCAGTAGGTGGCGGCTGCCAGCTGACTTGTAGAGATTGCGATGTCAAGGCAGCACATCTGACATCTTCAGGAGGCATGCTGGGCACTTCGAAATTATATTGTAAGATTAGAACAATAATCAGTATACATTTATATTTTTACGCAGGAGCAATATCGGACATCACGCCGTACCACAGAGCAATTAGAGCTATAGAAACGCGTTCTCATATCGATATTATATATTTACGACTTTATTATTTGTTGGTATCCTCGGTTCTTTGACAGTGGAAAGATTAGCCGCTCTCGGATGTCATCGATAATTATCGTTTTAACCTGTTTCATGAATTCAATGAGAATAAGGAAGGAGAGTAGATTTATCCCTCATCGATAAACAGATGAACTTCCTGCAAATTCTCGATGGTTTGTTTCCCTTTGCAGTCAACAAGAAAAGTTACTCGAAAATTCGAATTTTGCGTTGAAATTGCGTATGTATAAAGGGCCAAAATAGATTTCTAGATGAGAGATAGAAAATGGCTCAAATCAGACAAAAGTTTAAACTTCCTCAATATGGCGTTATGCAAACTATAAAAAAATTCCGTTTCGTTGTCCTCATATATCAACTGAATGCAAAAATACTGCTTCGAACTAGTTTTTAACACTACTTACCATCAGTGACCAATCGCGAAGCAGACCGTTTATTTTCAAAATTATCATATCATATCAAATAAGGAAACAAGGAAATGCATAAGTAGAGATTACAAACTTTGGGAATGCTTTCCATCGAAAGTGTTTCGATGAGCAGTTCAAATTATGGTGGTGCAATAAAAAAATTCGCAGATTTGTAAATCAGAAAGTAAGGAGTGATATCGAAGTATGTTTCTGCTAGTGATTTCGTTATGGTTTAGTTCTTTTATTTTGTACGTATCTGATCCTAGTTAGTGTTATAGTTACTATTTCATTTTTTTTTTCATTTGTTCTCAATTTTTTTCGTATATCGAAGACTGGAACTTTTGGCACAATAATACACTATACACTGTTTTACCACTAACCAAACCGATTTTTTAAACGTTTAAAAAATCGGTTTGGTTAGTGGTAAAACAATGTATAGTGAATTTTTTTCGTGTTAATATCCTAAACTTTTCATGAATGAATATACTGTTTTTTGTTTCTTATATTCTATATTTTCTGATCATGCATGTTTCTTTTGTATTCGGTAAGAATAATAAGATGGTATTATTAATTCAAAAATTGGCCTGAAAAAAAAAACAAGTAGAAAAAGCCACAGGGACCCCAAGGATTATTAAAATTGGGGTCCCAGAAATCATAGATCCGACACTGGAAATACACATTTGTCCTCATCTTGAGTGTGTCACACTGTATTTAACCATTTTCCACCGTGGCTCCATCCCATTTGCTGTGAAATCAGTGAACGAGAATAGAAGTCTTTTGGAGTCTAAACAAAGTGTGGTGTTTGAAAACGAAAGGCGTCTCTATACCTTTCATGCCTCCGAGTTGAAAATTTTCCTCACCGTCTTCCATCGTTTGAGCTGTCACAGGCTCCGACAGCGGTCCAGCGCCTACTTCGTTGAAGGCTTGGACGACGATGGTGTACCGGGTGTACTTGTTGAGCCCGCCGAGCAGCATTTCTCCGCCGTCTTCTCCGTCTCCGTTCACCGAGGTGAAATTGTAGGCGCCCATGGTGACGGTGCGGTAGCCAATATTGAAACCCTACAAGAAGAAATATTAGAGCCTAGCCATTAGCTCCACTATATGGGAGATATTACCACGGTGGCAAGTCAAGAGCGTATAAAATTGTTTTGTAGTTTGTTTCGTCAGAAGCGTGGTGATCATTAGAGTAGTGTTCCTTCCTTCGAGCATCAACCGAGGGGGATCCAGATTTGACAATCTCCCAAACACGAAAATAAAATAATGTCATCAGGGTCACTCAAGGAGTGGCGAACTGGACATTGAACTCGGTCAGGCGTGCGAACGTGAAGAACCTACTCACTACTGAAAGCGATTGATCAGCTACCCCCAGCCCCCTGGGTATCCTCAGTGAGACTACCTATATAAAGGGCTCAGCCCTAGGAGATAGGCCTCTGTGACTAACACCTCGCATATACACCCACATTCCTTGGCCAACATTCAGCCATCTCTGCACCATGCGGAGGACCACAACATACAGAAGAAGCTCTGTAATATGTTCCTAATTATTGTATAAATGTGTTTGTAATATGTGATGTAAAAGTTTGGAACAAAAGTAAATAACTTTAAAGCATATACCTTCCTTCGAACGAAAAGACCGGGGTTCGATCCCTACTCCAGCTAATCTTTTTTTTTTTTTTTTCTTCTCGAAGTAATCGAAAAAATACTCTGGAGGCACTTATGGGTTAGGCCGATAGTGATCCGCTATTTCAATTATGTTTCTTCTCAGGATCAGCCAGAAATGTAATATCACCTCGCTATGGTGCTATATATATATATGGCTAGACTATAGTGAAAAAATAGTGCTCAGGACCACATCGGAAGTGATAACTTCTATGGCCGGTTAGTATTTCCAATATCTTTTGGACAAATAGAAATGAAGTATATATTGATTTTATGCAATAATTCCATGTATTCGCGAAAAGGATGAACTAGAACTGAAAATAGTGATGGAGAAATTTCAAGAATGAGAAATTTCGAATTTCATCTTGTCATAAGTATTCATTATTGTGAATGATGTATAGGAACTTTTCGTAATTCGAGCGAGAACATAATATGACTATACTATCATAGTGAGTTCGATGCATGTCAGGTCAGAGCTGATGACTCGGTGTTCATTGAAATATTGAAGGTTCAGGTGCAGCCGCTATCGGCCCGTCCTCGTTGTATATCAACCAAACATATACATATAGGTATACACTTTTACGTGAGCTTCCGTGCGTGACGCGAGTGCGGCCGTTTTACTGCTATCCCAAAAAGTTCCTAGCGGGCATATAGCAGTTATCACTTCAAAGATCATGAAAGGTAGCTCTGTGGTTTGGAGTACATATCGATGAACGAGCGATGCCTAATTTAACAAACCTTCATTCAATATTGTCAGATTGCTAATGAGGAATTATTGAGCTGTAACGTCGAACAGAGTAGAATCGAAATTGATTTCGAGTTTTAACATGACTTCTCTTAACGTAAATAGTTTGAACTGTCTCCAAGAGCCATTCAGAGTGAACCTTTACTATCGAGAATTAGGAGTTTGGTTCGAAATAAAAGATATTTAAATCTTTGATAGAAGTCCATGCCAGCTTGAAATAGTGTGATATATAGTTAAACAAAGACGGATTGCTGAAACTCATAAACAGTCCACATGAATATAGGTAACAAAATATCGTATGATCTTCTCTGAATAATTCAGAAACAATTCGTTCATATAGGGTAGTAGAAAGACCTAGGCATTTCTGCAACCTTGTTTTCCATTGCTGGATAAGAAGCAATGAATAATCCCAACTATTTGAACCATTTTTGAGCCATTAGAACCGCTTTCTGAGTCCTATGGAACCGCTTTTTGAGCCATTGCAACCGCTTTTTGTGCTATTGGAACCGCTTTTTGGGCTAAAGGAAGTAATTAGGAACCGGTTTTAGAGCTATTTCTCCGTGTAATCAATACTAATTATCGAGCAATTGAAAACAAGTAGAGGCTGCACATCAATACTCATGTCAGATATAGGCACGGGACCATATACCCACTGGCTTGCGTATCCAGATATTATCTTGGTCCCTGATGGGTAATAATGATATTCTTTGATACCTTGGTGAACACATAACAATCAATAAATAAACTACCCGCCCACCTGTATGTCCCCGTGCCTGAGCTCCGCCAAGGGCGGCGACCACGTGACCAGCACCTCCCTCGAGGACACAGCCCTCGCAGCGGGGTTCAAGGGCGCGCCCGCCGGCCGCTGCGGCTCCGTCCGCACGGGCAGCTCCTCGCTGGGCGCGCTCCTGCCCGCCGGTCCTTCTGCGACGACGCGGAAGGCGTACCTCGTGGCCGGCTTGAGGTCCTCCACGAGGGCGGCGAAGGGCAGCGGGGTGTCGGTGAGGTCGACGGCGTGCCAGGTGCCTAAAAGTTCTGAAAGTTTCCCGAGATGGGATTAGACCCTTCCTTCTATACCAAGATCTATACCTTCAATTTCGGAATCGGTAAGTTATTATATATTTCGGAAAAAGTAATCTCGATTTCAGATTATAGATGGCAGCGCCATACAGTGTATGTCGCGATATCTCTGTATCCTACCTCAGAGCTTTGCCACAAGATGGCTACAACATGACTACAACTTCATGTTATACCCTGCGTCTTCGAAATGGGTGATATACCCGAAGCGTAGAGTTGTCCCAGTTGTCAGCAGACCGAGAGCGGCTGATGAGACCTGGTGGGTCGAAACAGTACTGTCTCGCTCCTGCTGACAATTGGGGCAACTCTGTTCATCCTAGATCTCTTAGTTATGAGATTTAGCAGTCAGATTTGGTTAGTTCGATTTCAGAAATGGTAAACGCAGTGAGAGATATTTTGAATTCATATCTTGAAAATAGGACAATCAATACAAAATCAACCAACTCTGTGTCAAATAAACTATAAATCAATAAGGGTGTCCCACAAGGCTCTGTTTTAGGACCTATTCTATATTTGGTTTATGTTCGAAATATCAGTGAAATTGGTCTAGCGAGTAAATATACCATGTATGCAGATGATACAGTACTTTTATATGAAGGCAAGAATCCTTCAAGTTCAGAAAATATGATAAATGAAGACTTGGAAATATTTCAAAAATGGCTGCACTCTAACCTTTTATCGATAAATACTAATAAAACAAAATATATGATTTTTCACCAAAAAAATTAACAAAAAATTTACCTCAACCTCAAAATAAAAAATAAACTCTCATGATTCTCCACTCTCATATACTGAGTCGTATCAAATATTCATTAAATTTTTGGGGATCTTGTTCAAAAAATGATTTCAATATCAACATTATATAGAAAATCGTTAAAATAAGTATTGTATCGTCTTTCATTTGATACACCAACGTCACCAACCAATCAATTGTATGAAATAACAAATACGTATTCTTCAGATGAAATATGAAGAATTGAAAGTCCTAAAATATCATATAATACCTATCAATCTATGCCTATCATAAATAAAAAATTTAAGTCGAATATTATTTTGATATGGAATTCTGAAATCTTGACGCCGCAGCATTTACTGAATTTAATAAACTACCAATATCAAAAATTGCAGAAATATCGGTACTTGTACATTGTCACTCAAAATTAGGGCTTTCCATCTTCATCATTATAAATTTATTATTACCTGACCGAATGCACTTAGGAAGTAGGTCATTTCAAATTCGGACAATGAACATTTCGGTATGTGAACTCTAAATATCCTCATCAAGTGTGTACAAGCCATAGATAGATTTTTTAACTGAGCAGTATTATTACGTGAATGGAGTCGTGTGTCGGCGAGATCAACGGATGGTGATGTAGGAATGTAGGAATTCATTATTACGAGACCGAAAAGCACTCAGGAAATAGAAGGTTATTTCAAATTCGTACAATTAACATTTGGGTGTGTGAAAACATCTAGGAGTCCCAAATGTTCTCGAAACGGGTTTGTCAACAGCCAAATTTATTATTACGAGAACAAATGCAATCGGGAAGTATATAAGCTCATCGATTATTTACAGGGCATATTTTCTCATGAAAAAACTCATGTCAGGAACCTGAATATTATATTATTCTCAAGCCTCTCCCCCCTGGCAAAGAATTTTTGTACATTCCCGTGGGCAGTAAGGTGGTCTGGGTCAACTTTTAGCTCCCCCTGTACAGCTAGAGAGCTAAAACTATATTAAAATAGCAAACTAATTTTCAAGATTTTGATGCAACTTTTGCGATGAATGCCTACGTAAATCACCCTGTATTTTATTATGTGTTCCATTGACACCTACAGGAAAATTCAACGTAAATGGTTTTTTTCTCCAAATGAAGTTGAAAGTGAATTTTAAATGACACTTAACAGGCAGAAAAGGTGTACTTTAACTGCCCAGGCAGAAAAAGTTTGGTGCTATGCAACGTTCCAAGTAATTTGAATTAAATTGGTGATCAAAATTGACAATGACTTTCGGTGAACAAAAAACGAAGGATTAAGTATTTGGACTTTGCGTGGAATTGAAAAGAATTTGGAGAAAACATTTTTCACATGGCAGAAAAGGGAATGTAATGCTCTGCCTGGTTTCCTACCTTCGGCTACGTCTATGCTATGAAACGCCAGCTGCGGCATTAAATCTTGTACTTTTCTGCCTAGTAAAACAAATAACTATATTTGTAGGAAACGAGGAAAGGGATAATCGCCCTCGCCTTGCCTCCTCTAAAAATGATGCCTGTGGATATTATCTATAAGAAATCACTGGATGTGAGCATGTTGGCAATGTTTATATAATCTATTGAATCTTCTCTTATCCACAACGTAATCCAAAAGGAAACATTTCGATTCGTACATCGTGCAAGTTATCTGACAATTACTTAATTGGAAAATTTTTCGAGAACCTATCTCGACTCACATAATTCTTCAACAGATATATCCGAACATTCTGGACAGTCCAATAGATGGAGAAATCCATTCAGAACTAATAGTTCTTTCAGAGAGTCGAAGGTAAACACATCTGATATGTGAAAGTGATGATGGCCGAAGAGGAAAGTTGTAAACAAGCAATCTTTCGGCTAACTTTCGACAACGAGCAAATAAACTCCAGCAAAGTTTACAAAACTTCTAGTTACGCCGGCAGAAAGATTCGAGAGATCAGAAAAGTTTGCTATAATGAGGTTTGTTTACCTTTTGATGGAGACAACTATTATCCAACATTCATAGGAATACACTAAGGAATACATATAACTTTTGATGAATTATTGAAATGTACGATTTTTCCTTATACCCATTTCTATACTATGCTCCATGAATAATAATTGCATGTGCATCAAAATTTTCAAAACTTTCACATGAAAGCAAAACTATATAGAAGAGTGAGTATGGGTTATTTTCATAATCCGTGAAGCATGAAAACAAACGAATGCATGATTCATAAGACATTATTGAATGCAAAATCATCTGAATACTTTGGAAAAAAAGCCAAGTTCCAAAAACAGCTGAAAAAAAAACGAGAAACACATATTTCGAGATGAAATGATGTATCCTGGTATTGAAGACATATTTTTTCACCGAAATAGTAACGTGCATCACTGAAAGAACATTTTGTAGTTGAATACATGCACACAAAAGAATGCTTGCTATTTGATATCTCACGACATAAGATGAAGATACCCTCATTTATGTTCATAAAATGTCACAATGTCACACTTTGCAAATATCATTCGCCTAATTAATTCTCGATCCATTTTATAATATATAAAAGTATTTGAATATTTCAGATATAGGCAAAAACGACCAAGGGAGTTGTTGAAAATATAGAGAAACAATAAAATAATAACTGACTAAGAATTTTCAAGCATTTCATACGATGCAAACTGCAATTCTTCAAGAGCTACATCTTCATCAGATAATTTTGAACAAGCTGTGAGATTGAAACGAAGTCACAACCATTGATTGGTCCATCCCAAAATTGACGGTATTTTGACATTCTGTCATTCTTCCCACCATCGAACGTCATTTTTTAAATTTCTTATGCCGTTTCTTGTACGACTAGAGCTAATAGTGAAAAACAGAATGAATTATGCACAAGTTCGCATTGAAAACACATAACGACAACATAAAATATAGCTTCAATATAAATCAGTTTGGTTTTCAAGAAAATAGTGGCACTCAAGCGGTAGTATCACAAGTGATAGAAGCAATTCGAAAAGGGATTGATGAAAGCTGTTTTCATTGATCTAGAAAGGCTGTTGATACAGTGTACTACACAATACTTCTGGATAACTTGGAGATCATGGGACGCGAAGGCATTATGGGGAATATTTTAGATTCATATCTTGAAAATAGGACAATCAGTACCAAATCTGCTGATTCTGAGTCTCATAAACTGTCAATGAATAAGGGTGTTCCACAAGGATCTATTTTAGGACCAATAGTGTATCTGCTTATATTCAAAATATCACGAAAGTTGATGGTTTAGCGAGTTATTATACCATACATTTTCATGCAGACGATGCAGAGTGCTTTTATATGAACACAAAAATCCTCTAATTTTAGAAACAGTGATATATAACGATCTGAGATTATTTGAAAAATGGCTTCACTCAACTTTTTATCAATGAATACCAGAAAAACCGAATACATTTAAAAAAAAAACAGAAAATTCAGCTCAATCTTCAAATAAAGAATTGATTATCGAAACAAACTGAACAGATAAGGTATTTAGGTATTTGGTTTGATGAAAAATTGAAGAGGGACAAACATATTGAGGTTCTGACAAAGGAAAACTCAATATGAAAATTGCAAATATATTCTCTATTCACATATAATAAGTCGAATCAATATTCAATAAATGTTTGGGGATCTTGTTCTGAAAGTGATTTTAATAAAATATCAACATTATAGAGAAAATCATCGAAAGAACTGTAAGCTTTAACAAAAAAATATTCTGTAGAAGAACTGTACAGATTAGAGACTCATACAATATCATGAATAAAAAATTGAAATCTAATATTATTTTGATAAGGAATTTTCAAATTCGTAGTCATCAAACTAGACAATATATTTTATTTCACCTTGATGCTGCTAGTTCTACACTCGGACAAAAAAGATCCACTCATGCAGCCTTATCTAAGTTCAATAACCTACCAGATGAAATTAAAAACTGCAGAAATATATAGGTACATTCAAAAAGAAAGTAAAAAAAATTGATCATTTCTGAGAGAAATTTTTAAAATTCATCAGTAAGTTATATGTCCTTGACTAGAATTCTCCTCTTTGTTCATTGATTGTTTCGTTTTATTATGATGTATTGTGATATCCTGATTTATTATGATTTATTATTCATGTTCTCTTCTACTCATGTTTGTGTAGTAGTTCATAGATAGTAATTATACTTATTATTTTATAGTTATGTTCTTCCTCATACCAGAACTTGTTCTGACTGGAAAATATGTTTGATAAATAAATAATAAATAATAATGATAATAAATAACTTACTGTCAATTTCTTTGTACTCCACTATGAATTTAAAGACTTCGTTGGCGTCTCCGCTTCTGTGCTGCCACTTCAAGTTCACCGATCGACTGCCCACCATCGCTGCCTCCAAGCCCGAAGGAGACCCTGGTGGCTCTTGCACGAGCAGTTGTACCAGCTGTTGGTCCCTACCGTACATGTTGCTGGCCTGACAAAAGTAGGCACCACTGTCTTTGGCATCCGAGTTGATGATTTTCAGTTCTGCTGCCACCTAGAATGAGTTTAGGTGATACTTACATATAGTTGATCGAGTATACATCAGGGTGTTTCATGAATGAATGGTGGGATTTCTTGGCTAACTCATATAGAAACAAACGCACCTTCATATAGGAGGTGTCTGAAGATTATTTGGTTTGACGATATCTCAGGAACCTTCTGAGATAATAATTATTATCGATATGTTTAAATCCGTCCAAACCTGTTTCAATCGATGTATCATGATTTATATTTAATGTACAATCAATATTATAAGTTAGTTGAAGGGTATCGAGTTTATTCTGCAGTGTTGCAGTGTGATTGGTTGGCCAGCTCAAGGTCAATAGGCGTGTTTGGACTATAAAACGTCACACCAGTCATGCCACCATTTCAAATGGCGCAGGAAGTATGTATTTTCAAATGAACATATATTTTAATTTATCCTTTAATCGTCCTTGTGTGAATGAAATAATTCAGTGTATTATATTTACTGGTAGTTTTGTGGAATAGAACTCACGATATATAATGTCGTTTTAAAAAAGTCAGTGGTCCTCCTCATTATTTGAGAAAAAAACTTGTGAAAGCTGAGATTGAACCGGCATCAAGCCAGAATGCTACCCTATATAGGCCATTGCATTTCTATAGGAGAGATCAAAGAACAGAATTATAGCTGACAGCATCCTAATGCTTCACCATTCTGATCTGTGCGATCCAGACGATCCATTAGCTATACAGATGTGGGTGCTTATCGGTTATTGAGTTATCGCCAAAGAACCAGCCAAAAAATTCCAACAATAATCTTATTACACAAGCTTTGAACCACCCGTACCATGAATTAATTTTGAGCTGTAGTATCTTTGAGATGGAGTCTCCATTCGAGTTTGTGTAGAATGTCACTGTTCACAATATTCCACTGTGTGTATGATGATAACTTACTCCATCTGGTGTTACGTCTTGCTGCAGATTCACCCTGTAGTTAGTTGAAGGGTTGAGTTCGGTTTTGCCGCCTCTAAGCCAGATAACGCTGATTGGTTTGTCACCGTTGACGTCACAGTGCAATAGGGCTGTATCCCCTTTCTTCACAGTGACAAGGCTGGATGGAGCCGAAAAGTATGGGGACGCTATTGCAAACAAAGATTCTGTTAATGATGGCATATATGTATATTGCATATGAGTATTGAGTAGTGATTCCATTTTGAAAAAATTCGTGGCAGATATACGTGCAATAAAAATATCGAATAGACATTTTTAATTCTCAAATATGTTTATGAAATCGGCATCATAATATTATGTCATCCATTAGGTGGATAACAGTGTCAGAACATTTATACCTTCTTGCAGATACGTTTTTCCGAAGTGGGATGTTGTAGTTGTTTTTTGTCTAGTTCATCAAATGGGCATCCTTATATATTTTGTGCATTATGATTCGATTTTTTTCACCGTTCATCGTTTGTTTAGTGAGTGTGATCCGATCATGTCATCTCATCCTATAATTTCATATGAGGATTTTTCTCAATATTCATACTGATATACTTATCTGTCTGTGAGTTATATACCTCGTAACCTGTTTTCAAGAAGGAGATGTCCAAATCAACGTTGAGGCACGTATTTCTGCGATGTCATGGTAGATATTTTTCATCCTTCAAAATGATACCACCGTGGATGAGTTCAAAATTATACTTACAATTCACCCTCAATTGAATAACTTTCCCGATGCCAGTACCGATTCCATTCTCAGCTTGGCATAGATAATATCCCTCCCTGTCCTCCTTGACATGCTGAAGAAGCAAAGTCCCGTTGCCCAACAGCTTGGTATACATATGATCTCTAACTTCTTCATAGTCGCCCGACTTACTAGCTGAACGAACAAACACCAATCAATAATGGGAAAAAAATATATCATCTATTTCATCATCAATATGCCCTAGGTTAATCTATGCTAGCAACTACAATCGTACTGAAGACACCACCTGTTGCTTTTTTCCACGTGACAGTAGGTGTGGGGACACCTTGGGCTTGACAGTGCAACGCCACGTGACGGTTTCTCTCGACGCTGACGTCTATAGGCTCGACCAACCAGCGTGGTGGTACTGGAATAAAACGGTTTTTCATGTTGAGTGAAAGAATCGGTAGATCAAGCATAACGTGGAGTCGTACGTGAATAAAAACGAAGCGACCAATTGTCACGTTATATTACGTCATGGTTGAAATCCATCACAAAATTGATGCAAACCGTTCAATTTGATGACTATATCTACTGTGAAATATTTTCACTTCTGGAATTGAGTATGATATGAGAAGATCCAAAATGAATGTGTTGTCTGATTGATCTCTTGGCCATTTCAGGATTCAGGTCGGCTTACTGTCTGTTTCTGCACCCAGCAATATAATGAAGAAGACAAATAGCATAGCTGATCATCAGAATTCTTAATTCCTGTATCATTTTGTGGTATGGAGTGAATGCCATCATGGAATGATAAACTACACGAAAATCTCCTCGATGAAGAACAAATCCAGACCTAACACGGCGTGAAAGTTGATTCATTAACTAGTAGCATAACAGAACTAATGAATAGTTACTCAACCCAAGCTAACCAGATTCGATGCTTATCACAGGCATCATCATATAAGTCACTGTATTCTAAAAAACCACTTTGAAAAATTGATTAAATCTATCGGAAAGTGGTACAAGTACCTCATTATCCACTTCCTGCTTATGATCTATAAGGCACCGACCTGTCCTGAAATACTATTCCCATATTTGGAGTGCAGCACCCAAACATACTCTGAAACTGTTGGATTCTGTCCAAAAGAGTAAAATTCGTCTCGTGGGTAATGCCTCGCTCACAAACTCACTTACTTCCCTGGAACACCGTAGAAAAGTTGGCGATCTGACTCTATTTTATAGATATTTTCATGGACGATGCTCTTCTGAAATATCGACAATTGTTCCTCCCTTGGTAGTCCCCGCGAGATTAACACGTCGAGTTGGGGCTTCGCACCCCTTGGTGGTCACTGCAGAATATCTTTTTCCAAAGACTCGTTCATCCAACAAACAGTGAAGCTCTTGATCTCATTGCCAAGGGAGGTGTTCCCTGAGGCATATAACCTCCAGAAATTTAAGAAGAACACCAATTCCTACCTCTATATCCCTTGGTTCTCACGATGTTCACTTAACATTACAGCGATATCCCTTCTCGTGGGAACCAGAACATAGAAAAAAAGTTGGTTACTGAAATCAATATTTGCGAAGCGATGTCAAGCGTTTCTAATAATCTATTATGAGAAGGTGATAGTTCACACTTTGATAACTTTGGTATTGGTCGATTTGATTTTCTTCACATAAGATTTCCACGATTTAACAGTTTTTTTGCAATGGTGCCGTTGGGTGGGAACACTGACCATAACACTCTACACGGTTAGTTAGGTTCCTTTCGAAGAAGCAACCTGTGAAATTCAACGACACGAATAAATTATTCAAGGTCACGTGAGAAGCTCGACTAAGAGGTCCAATGATTGAACTATGCAATGAGAATTTTCTAGCAGCAGATGGTATATATCAATGATATTGTTTGTTCACATATTTCCTTGAATAAAATATTGCGAGCGACAGAATTTCAGTTTTGTTCATCCGAAAGGTGGGTAAGTCTACTCTTACTGGTTTTTGCTGCACGAAGCAATTAAGTGAGGAATTATTGATATTTTTCAAAATGTGGCGGTGAGTGAACATTATAAGCGGCGTCCCATTTTCATGTGGCGCCATCTACAAAAATGTTAGCATTGAGTATCAAAATTAGGCCATTATTGCCTCACATTCGAGATAATGAATGATCATTTACTGTGTAATGTAAGGTTAATATTCAGAACTGCATCTGATACTCGAACACTGAAATCGTGGTTTGAGGATAACAAAATTGCTAACTTAAAAAATTTCCATGGTAGTTTTTCAATTCGTCACTTGGAAGGAACGCGAGAAATCAATTACCTACTCTAAATTAGGCGGATATCATCAGCAAACGGTATTATGGAGAATCTAATTGATTCCATAGTAGCTAATGCTATAATAGTATTAAGTTATCTCAATACATCTTTGATAGATTTATCATCGGAAGCAAGAAGGTATATACAGAGATCTAATTATGAAACAAGAAAATTGTGCGAGAGGAATTAAGAACCATTATTTAAAGTTCAGATCGATAGTTGTTTGTTTCATCAAGGTAAATAATTGATTAGGATATTCATCAATCAATAAGTTCTGTCCTCTCAGTACCTAACGTTTAAATATTGTGTATTTCATCAAGGTGGAGGATATTCATCAATCAATAGGCTATGTCCCTCCAGTTATGTTATGTTATATGTAAAGTTAGTATGATGTTATCCTCACACGATGATCGACACTATCAACCTACGAACTCAAAAACATCGACATGCAAAAAACACCAATCAAAAAACCGAAGAAAGTGAAAGTGAGAAAGACATAAAGGTATATATAAACTCAAGTCGGTGCAACAATACCTTGACCACTGGGTCCGGTCGACGCATATATGTGCCAAAGCAACGGAGGGCGAGTGAGGGCGGTGAAAGGCGGTGTGTGGTGACGCCCAATGGGCACTTATACGTTGAGAAAACGTTGGGAAATGGTTGAGTAGCGAACCGTTGAAATTCGGTGAAAATGTCGCAAGAAATAACGTTCATTCGTTCAAAAAATAATGTCCAAATTGAACGTTGTCTATCAACTTGTAGATATAATATAATTATGTTTAAGTGAACGTATTACTATGGAAGATTCATAAATTTATAACGTTATATTCAATGTCCAATAGATTATTCTGCCAGCTAATCCTGGCTTCTCTTCTTTACGTCTGTTCGTATATGTTCCGTCACTATAAATCTGCATGAGAATATGTTCGACTATTCTCATTTGTATCTAAAATCAAAATAAGAGCACCGGCATCAATAGAAATCTATGAAAACGTAAGTGTTCAATGTTTGTATATCGTCAATCAAATAGGTGTCGTACAATATAGGAATAACAACCAAAAATTGAGAAATAGTATACAGACTAGTTGAAAATAACGTGTTTTCATATCGTCAGCTGAATATTTCATCCCTCTTCAAGATCAAATATGAATAATACTATAGTATCATTTTGCAACTGATTGAAAAAAATCAGTTGATGTACTTATATGTCTTAGTTTTTAGACTACAACACCTACAGGGGGAAATATGACTCCTCACCAAAGACAATAAGACATTGTGATTATAACATGAAATAAGTTGATATTATGATTTCTGGGACATATTGCATTTGCAAGTTTGCTCGATGTATTATGACGAAACGTTTTCATGATTTTGAGCGCTAGCACACGATGTGTGGATGTGAGATAATTATTGGATGATTTCATGAAATTTTGCATATTTCAAAAGAAGGCATCAGGCACGGGCCCATAGGCAAGCTGGCATATTGAGTTTGGGGAAAGTTTTACAAAACGTTTCATGGTGAATATTTGTTTTTTCTCACCTCAAACTAGGAATTTGATACTTCAAACTAAGAATTTTTACTTTCAAGAACATACAATTTCGATTTTGTAGTTTGAATTTCCAAGTTCAACCATGAAGGAAAATTACATTACCAGTTCAAACCAGGAACTTCTAAATGCAAACTCGAGCTTTCCGACTGATTAGTAGATAATTCAAGGCTTGAATTCGGAGAAATCGAATTCCAAATTTTGGGTTGGTAATATCAAGTTTCAATTCGGAAAATGAAATTCCCAGTCACAGGTTTTCAATCTGAGAATGAAATACTCTATACGAAGCCAGGATTTTCAACTGCATACTCTGAATTTTCGACTCATAGATCATAGAAAATCAAATTCATTATATCCCATAGTATCCTTAGTAAAACCTCGGATTTTAAAAATTTCTTACTGATGAGAAAATACCTATCATATTGTAAATGCATGAAAAGACAACACAAGACAATTAACCGCGGCGTCCTTCAAATTATTAATTTTTTGTCCAAAACGAAAATTGGAAAATTAGTTGGCAAAATTCACTTTCCTACCCACCAAATTTCTCTTTTGGTTCGTCCCTGAAATAAGACACTTTTTTGATTGTCTAAATATTTGTAATTGAAAAAGTTTATAATTCAAGAAGACCACTTCATCTGTTCATTAATTCAGATGAAAAATGATAGGAATTCTCAACGTTAGTATTCATTCAGTTCTCGAATCGTTCATAAAATACTTGAATTCGAAGATCAGAAAGAACCATTTGTTAAAAAATAGTTCGTGAATGAGTCGGAAATAACGTTAAACTCACAATTTTCAATACTGTTTGAAGAAAAAACGTATTTTTAAGAGAACGCAAGATTATAACGTTAATAAAATGTTATCAAAACGTATTTCAAATAACGGCTTTATCATTACCAAACTGACAACGCTGAAAAATCAACGAGTAACGTATTTTCCACCCTCCCAACGTCGAATCAACGTACGGTGCCTATCAGACGGGAGGGGGTAGGTGAGAGTGGGAGACAGGCTCGGGTGGTTACCTTTGACCTGCAGCTTCGCGGTGTACCTAACCTCGGAAGCGGGGTTGCTTGCCACGCAGGTAAAGTCCCCGGAGTGTCTCGAATCGAGGCTAGAAATGCTGAGGAGGCTAGAGTAAGGGTCAAGGGCCGATACGTTGACGCCGAGGTTAGGCGTCAAGGGCTGACCGTCCTTCAGCCAGGATACCATTAGCGGCTGGTCACCTTTACTCACGCCGCAAACGGTGCGTGTGCGCATGCCTTCCGACAGCCCGTCTTGGAAGGAAAAGGGCTCGATTATAGGGGGTACTGAGAGAAAACAAGAGAACGAACATCAGAGATAGAAAAGGAAAAAATAAAAAGGTCAAACAAACGCGCAGCTCGAGCTCACGCCTGCGTGAATTACCGTTGACCATCAGCTGTTGCGTGTGGGACACCTCGGCGGCCATGTTCCTGACCACGCACGAGTAGTTGCCGTTGTGCTCCGGCGAGAGGCTTTCTATGACCAGGATGCTGGTGAATTGGTCCACTTGCGTGATGGACAGCATCTGCGCGGACTCTACCGTCCTGCCGTCCTTGTGCCAGGATATGGTCAAGGGCTGGTCGCCCTTGGTCACCGAGCAAGTCAGGCTTGCGCGGTCGCCTACGTGCAGGGTGTCCTCTGCGTAGAAAGGGCTAACTTTTGGAGGAACTGGAATTTAAATTATCGTTAGACCTCGAACGCGTGATTCGAGTGCTGCTCTAGGTTGTAGATGGCCGGTTCGTGAAGGTTCCTGGTGATAATCTAGAAACTCAAATTGCAGAAATGACTCGTGAAATAGTTACAGAAACGCATTTATTTGAGCAGGAAGACAAAATTCATTTCCAATTCGCTTCAATATATTCCCACATCCACGAAACTTGAAACCATTCAAACTTCATCGTAGATATTGACGATAATAATTGAGATTATTGCAAAGATAAACATATGACCCGTTTGGAGACATTTTTTGTTTCACTTCGTATTTGTTTGGCCTTGCTGGTCCTATATAGAGCCTATAGTATCTTCGAATCTCAAATTGAATATAAAAAACAAGATATAGAAGTTCATGTTGTTTTCTGAAAAACGGAGGATGTGGCGACAATGGATATGCCTCTGTATAGTGAACAATAGACATGACATAATAATGTGTGAATATATATTCATTTTTCATTGTCAACCTAACTTCCTAACGTTAATATCGACTAATCTACATAATCTGATTCTTTAGTTGTGTGTTGTTATCTCTGTTATCTGCAGTAAGTATTCAATGCAGAAAATTCATTCCATATTCTGATTGAAATGACAATCAGAAATATTCTTGGAAATACTGATACGTAGGTCGAATCTTATATGGTGTCTCTCGTTTTCCCTCGTTTTTCTTGTTATGAAATATAGTGAATTTCAATAATTATTTGAAAAAGTTACAGAGCTCTGAGGAGAAAACGGTTTGCCACAGGTTAAACAGGTTAGTACTCCGAAATGATGAAATATAATTTTTCATTGGAACAGGCCCATTATCATCGTAAGTATTCTTGCATCAGTCAACAACATACAAAACATGGATGCTAACGACGGAATTATGTCAAGCAATCTTGAAAATCAAATTAAGCAAACTTCAATAACATATCATCTCATTTTGGCAGTTATGGAAAGCATACTCTGAGTAATAAGACGTGAATGAATTATGTACTATTTTACTCGTTAGTATGCATATGCCTATGCTCAATCTGCTTCCATCTCCTCTGACTTAATCTATTTCGGTTGTTTTGGTACATTTCCATGTTTTTTCCAAGCTTTTGAACCATGGGAAAGGCCACTTGATGAATGCATGACAGATTGTTTTTTGCTTTTTACTGATACTTTTGACTTTTTTGAGGCGTTTTTCGAGTTTTTCCACTTTTTTAGGAAGACGGCAGATTGAGCTCGGCATTGGTACACTACTCTCATTGAATCTGATACCGCACTAATGTATCGAAATTTTTCATTCGTGGCAAAACTACCACCTAATAAGTTAATACACAAATACCTATCATTCAATGAATCGCCTGAAAAAAAAAAAACAAAATCCACCCACCTATGAGGTACATCGTAAACCTTTGGTAGTAGTGAACCCATGTCGGTACGAGCTCAATCTGCTCTTATCTTCTTTGGCCTACCCTTTCTCGATTGTTCAGATGATATTCACATTTTTTAAGGGCCCAAAACATGAGTAAGGCTGCTTGACAAATGGAATGTAGATTACAGCATACATCGACGTCGATTTTTGACGCTTTTACGTGGGACAAGCCTGAGCTTTCTCGAAATTCTTCAACACTGCAAGCGCGAGTTACGTTATAACAGCCGAATAGCACCCTCATCTATTGAGCTCGAAGCAGCATAGGTTCACTACTCAGTGACGTTAACTTTTAATGATCGTTTCCCCTACAGGGGTCCCTGAAAATTCCCTTTATTGGAAATATTCCCCAAAAGTCTGGACCACCCAAAAATCTGTCCGTATAGGTACACCTGAAATTCAGTCGAGGAATCCCCACATGTAGGGAATATCTCTATGGGTTACCATCACTGCACTACTGTTGAATTCGAAACCACACTGATGTTGATGTATCAATCTTCCATACTCGTGACAAGAGTTGTCACGAGTATGGCACCCTTCATGAAAGGAAATAAAAAATCCACCCACCTATGACGTTCACCTCCCCGCTTCGCCTCGCGCTATGCCCCTGCTTGTTCCTGGCCCAGCAGGTGTACACCCCCGAATCGGCCTTCTTCTCCACGGGGCTGATCACCAGCGTGCCGTCTCCCAACACTTTCTGACGCAGGTCGTCCGGCAGCTCCCTGCCGCCCCGCTCCCAGTGGATCTCGTCGATGGGGTAGCCGGCCACGGGGCACTTGAGTTGCAGGTTCTCCCCCGCCACTGCCGTCACTTTGGGAATGAGGCGGATGTAGGGCATACCTGGGGGCAAGGTTTCGTCATCAGCCCTGTCCAAGATGTTATGAAATAGCTAGTTGATGGTGCCGATGAAATAAAGACTGATGTTTTATCATTTACGGGAAAGTAAGTGTCACTTGTTATTATATACTGTTGTATTCATGATAGGAAGGTAGAGGTAGATGAGGTAACCAATCTCCGATTGTTTTGGGCATTCATAGGTGGCTATAGTAACGATTCCGGGCACCTTCTGGCGCCGATTGTCCAGCAGCTCCCTCTGCTATGGGACACTTGAGCTGGAGGTTCTTCCCCGCCACCGCTATTATTTTGGGAATGAGGCGAATGTAGAGAGGGCATGCCAATGAAACAGCTATAGTCGATGGTGCCGATGAAATAACGTCTGATGGTCTACCATTTACAGGAAAGTAAGTTAGTGTCAGTGTGTCACTCGTTATTATATACGGTTGTATTCATGATGGAAGGTAGATGATGTAGAGCCACTGTTCGATTGTATTAGAAGGCTATAGTAAGGATTCCGGGCACCTCTGCCACGGGGAACTCGAGCTGGAGGTTAGCTTCCGCCACCGCTATTACTTTGGGGATGAGGCAGATGTAGAACATGGATTTCGTGATTATCACTGTCCAATAAGATGTTATGAAACAAATAGTTAATGGTGTCGATGAAATAACGACTGATGGCCTACCATTTACAGGAAAGTAAGTGTCACTTGTTATTATATACAGTTGTTTTCATGATGGCAAAGAGAGATGATGTAACCACTGTTCGATTGTATGAGGCCCCGATAGGCTATAGTAAGGATTCCGGGCACCTTCTCGTGCCGATCGTCCGGCAACTCCCTCTGCCACGGGCCACTCAAGCTGGAGGTTAGCCTCCGCCACTGCTGTTACTTTGGGGATGAGGCAGATGTAGAACATGACTGGATTTCGTGATTAGCATCGTCCAAGATGTTATGAAACAGATAGTGGATGGTGTAGACTAAATAAAGACTGTTGGTCTACCATTCACAGAAAAATAAGTGTCACTTGTTATTATACCGCTGTTACATTGGGTATGAGGCGAATGTAGAGCATGCCTGACGGCAAGGTTTTGCTGACTGATCTCTTCAAAATTCTATAAAACAACTAAATGGTGATAGGCACATATGTACCGATAAAGTGCCTACTGATGTTCCACCATTCACAGGAAAGATAGTGTAACTTGTCCTTATATATACGGTTGTATTCATTCATTCATTCATTCATTCAAGCTGTGGTGGGAACCCGTGGCGATGGATGAATGGCACCGAGGTATGGTGTCGCTAACGGGACCTCTGGGAAACAGGGTGCATCTCAGAGTGAACAGCCTTAGCCCTACGCAGGGCTTCACAGGGCTGGGACCAACCCTTTTCCCCGTCAATCGTAGGAGAAGGGAACCTTTTTGCCCTCTTGGTAGACGAGAACAGGGATCGGAAGAGTAATGAACTTGAACGAAAAGGGTCTTTCATATTGAAGTGGCCCTTAATTAACACCATGAGTCGTGTATGGTAAAATTGATAGCGGCATGTAGGTGAGATACAATGGGCCACTAGGCCTAAGTGTCGTCGGAGACATCAGTAACACTATCAAATGGTACGTATTTGACCTAAATGATGTTCATAAAGGATTTCAACCACCTTGACGAAAAAAAAAAACGAAAATGTCATCCATATTGCTCGCCTGAACACAATTCTGCTCAATGCCATAGATGAACCATAATATCTTTGTCAACGCGCAAGAACTCCCGAACTTTCGTAATATTGAATCGGGTCTCTAAAAAATTGTGCTAAAATTGTTCTATCCGTCATTCGGTTGCCCCCTTACGAGCAACCCTCAGAAGTCTTCGAGAGTCTTGTGCGAGCAAGGAATGACGGGGGCCTTACCTTTTAACGAGTGATCCCAAACACTTTCTTGGGCCATCAGAAAAATTTCTGCAGTCGACGGGAATCGAACCCACGACCGGCAAGCGAATGCGGATTAGAATATAGACACTCTGTCCGCACGGCTACCTGGTCTCTTGGTATTCGGAAACATATGTAAGAGTGGGTAAGGTATATGACAGGTCTTGTATATCACACTTGGTTTTGTTCAATCTCGTAAATGAATGAGCTCTCATCTCATGGCATTAGCGGTCTAATTAGTTATTCATGTTGGTGGTTATAAGTTGGAAGAGTGGATCTCTCCCAGGCTCAATTTTTGCATCTCGTATTTGCAGTGTAGGTCTTGGATCGTTAGTCGATGATGGTCCACTTAAAGTCAAATATGTAAAAATTCTAGCAAACATGATATTATTTGTTATTGACTCCGGACATCAAATGTGTCAACAAAAAGATTTATCCAGAGCATATATGCATAGTACCCAATGTATGAAAGGAAGGCAAATAGCTGTATATTACGTTCTCAAGAAGGAAAAAAATAGAGGTGGAATTTCGAACTTTTTAGTGAAATATCTCGATGAACTCTCCCGATGAACTGTTGTTTGTTTATATTTTCATTATCTAAATTCGTGTTTTCGAGACAAGAATATATGGATATAGTTTATCCAAACTATACCACAGAGGATTGTTGAAAGAAATAACCATTGCATTTTACCACCAAATTTGGTACGTACACGATAAAACCTACAATTCTCCTAATATTTTCTCTCGAGAATACCAGGTTCTACAAATGAAAAGACCCCCTCTCCCAGTGATTCATCTCCAGGATTAGATTTGTAGTCTATTAGGTACGAAGTACAAGAATCATCTCAATTCATTTGTTTCATTCGCTGTGGGCGAAAATGAAAGATGTGTTGCTCGATGACAAACGGCAGTCGTTTTTCATTTGTCTTGACCACTCCCCGTGACAGTCCGCTTTTTGTCAAGGCGGCTATCACGCCGTGACTGGCACCACAAAAGAAAACAAATGACGAAGGTGCCACAAGAAAAAAGATTTATTTGGTGTTGTTCGATGAGTATCTTTCGCGAGGCTTGTTTATAATTTCAGATCACATGTTCTACCAACTTTGAAATGTTAATCACTGTAGAGTATGATATCTATATCATTTTATTTCGATCTCTTATATCTACTTTGACAATGTCGAAATTGAGAACGATTTCACATATATACAGGGTTTCCCGAGATTACAAAGAAAGATTTCAACCACAGATCCTAGAAACAAAAATGGTGAAAAAAGTTTATGTTAACATGGGTCCAGAAATGGCCCCCTCTGGGGTTATAGCTATCTAAAAGGAAACCCGAGATGCAATTTTGTACATGTATAAAACTTTTCATGCCCGATTTGGGAATATTAAGAATTGTGGGAAATAGGTGGGGCTAGGGGCATTTCCTTCGCAAATTTTGTTTCAATGCTACTTTCGGCAGTTTGATTCCTCTAGGTTCCATGGACAATACGCCACATCATCAGGGAATTGTTTGTCACGATTGGCCACTCCCATAATATCTGGCCGGTCTGGGCCCGGGACAACTTTACCATATGAGAAACCCGCCACTGGGTCTTATAGTGAAGAAGAAGAAATCTGAATGATTTTGAGGATTCTTTTCATCTTTAACAAACTAGTACGTCTTTGTGATAACATTCAACAGAATAGAACGAAAATGCTTAGAACAACTTGACTCTTTGAGGTAAAATTGTGTGGACGATCTTGAAGAAACAATGAGTCAACTTACTGTCGAGAGTTAGGAGCTTGACATGTGAAATTGTAGAAAATTTTTGAGTTCTTAGTTGTGTATTCGCTTTATTTATTCACACATCACCAACTGATATTGGTAAGATCCAAATATGGTAAAGAATAGATCTTTGAGAGATATAGACTGTCGAGAGTTAGGAGTTTGACATGTGAAATTGTAGAAAATTGTTTGAGTTCTCAGTTGTGTACTCACTTTTTTATTCAGATAGTACTGATATTGATAAGATCAAAATATGGGAAAGAATAGATATTTGAGATTCGACAGGTAAATTGGAATTATATCTTCCTTTGTGTGAACGTAAACCTATTGGAGAGAAAAAAAAGGAAACGGTCGAAAACTGCAGATTTGCTGGGTCCATTAGACAACTCTTCGAAGTAAAATTGCGTGGATGATCTTGAAGAAACAGTGAGTCAACTTACTGTCGAGAGTTAGGAGTTTGACATTGGAATTGTAGAAAATTGTTTGAGTTCTCAGTTGTGTACTCACTTTTTTATTCAGATAGTACTGATATTGATAAGATCAAAATATGAGAAAGAATAGATATTTGTGATTCGACAGGTAAATTGGAATTATATCTTCCTTTGTGTGAACGTAAACCTATTGGAGAGAAAAAAAAGGAAACGGTCGAAAACTGCAGATTTGCTGGGTCCATTAGACAACTCTTCGAAGTAAAATTGCGTGGATGATCTTGAAGAAACAGTGAGTCAACTTACTGTCGAGAGTTAGGAGTTTGACATGTGGAATTGTAGAAAATTGTTTGAGTTCTTAGTTGTGTATAGTAAATTTCCAATATCAACTGCAGAATATCCCGCTCTGTGCGGCGTCGGCGTGTTTGAAGTTTTCTTCGAAGTGACTGCAAGTGTGGTACGACGAGACTCTGCAATTGTTTTTGGAAAAAATATACTCACTTTTATTCAGACAGTACTGATATTGATAAGATCAAAATATGGGAAAGAATAGATATTTGAGATCCGATAGGTGAATTGGAATTATATCTTCCTTTGTGTGAACGTGAACCATTGGTGAAAAAAAAGGAACCGTTCGGAAACTGTAGATTCCATGAGGTTGCTCTGGTCTCGAGTGGGTCGCACTGTATATTTCGTATACTGGGTCCATTAGACAACTTCGCACCGGCATTCCACAAATTACACGCGCAAGATTGCGCTGTCTACGAACTACCATAACGGAAATTAATAGCGTGCGAGTAATTAGCGCGATTCGGTGTATCCGAATGGAACAAAGCCGCTCCTACAACAATGTATCCACTCTAGGAAAAGGGCCTTCTTCCCCTAGTGCCCATAAAACGTGCCCGTGCGAAACCTTAGCCCGTATTCCTGCACGACGCTCATCTCGTAATGGCCAATATTTCGACGTATCGGAACTTTATTGCGGATACATCCTACCCAACTCCGAGCGAAAAGAGGTAATAGAACTCCGGAAAGAGAACACCGAAGCGTAATTCATCTGGAAGCGGTTTCATGGCTCAGAATAAAGCGGTCATGATCACACAACGAAAGAGTTTTTACCTCATAATCGAGGGATCTAGGACAAATGGAGCTTTCCTAATTGTTATCAGCAGGCCTGGTGTACTGACAACACGAACAAATCAACACTCCGAGTTGTTACGTCACACCTTACGGACTGGCACTGGCAACGAGTAAAGCACTTTCCAAAGAGTACATGTCATAGATAGCGAAATTTTAGTGACTTGGAAAACTTCAAGGTACAGCTTGCCAACTGTAAATATCAAATGTTGTTTGGTATGATATTATCAGTAGTAATACTATATAAGAACTTCAACATATTCGGGTTATACATACCTACTTTAGATTAATCATACCATGTATAAATATTATTTGATGCTATCATTCCTTATCTAAAATCATCGAAAATATATTTTTCTAATTTTGACATGTAATATGACACTTTTCAAAACTGACGGAAGTTTTGAAACGTCTTACTTTACGTAACCAGTTGCGTAAAGTAGAATTTTACATAACTGGTGATGTAATGTTCATTTCATTCATTCATTTCACACAACAAGAGTCGGCAGAACTCATGTAAAACTGGTCATTATTTTTGTTCATGCGAAATGTTTCGTCAAAATTAGAAAAAATATTGTACGTGACACGTTAGGAAACGCCATTTTACGCCAAAACAACGCGTTTCCTAACTGATTACGTAAATATCTATTGTTTCAATAGGTAAATTCGGCGACTTCGAAAAACGGCATGAACGTCATGAACCGAATATTTTGATGCTGTCAGATTTTTAACTAGTGACTACCTTATGAGATTCAATATGACCGATGACAATAGTATCCTCATTCACAGAGAAGACAATAGTTCGACCTGGTCGCCCTAATAATCACTTATTGAACACTTATATCCTTGCAAGATTTTTCAGTACCAATAAAAATATCCTAGTATTCCTAATAATTATTTAGACTTTATTTGATCCCAAGCAATATTTGGTGGCTCTGGCAACGGTGTAATGCCTATAAGTTCCCAAAAATACAAAAAAAGAAGAAGAAGGAAAACTACATTGTCAACCTAACTTCCTGACGTTCGCTAATATCGGCTGTCACCTTCACAATTCATTTTCATCCACTTGATGAACAATGTGAACCCAATAATGATCTCAAAACTCATTTAGTACTAGATTCCATCAAGAAATATTTTGGTACTGAACATCTTCGAATAGTACTGAATCAGTACTAAATAAGTACTGACTGGAACAGCCCTAAGGTGACTGGGGAGCGGTAACCTCTAGGAGGGGGCACATTGCAGCTAATGCTTCAGAGAGAGATTTAAATCCTTGAGACATACGGGTTGCCTATTGCCAGGCTTTGCAGTTGCCTAAATTGGTGTCCTTGCTTCCAGTTACTCGAGGTCGAACAACATGCTCAAGCGCATTGGTTTCCATTATCGAAGTTCAGGGAACCACTGGAAATTAGTTCACTGCCTCCATAGTACTTCCAGAGATTATACACTCCCCCAAAGAATAGTAGGTTATAGTCACCTCTTTGGTACTTCATTCTTTATTTATCTGTCGTTCTTCATCTTCCAGTCTTTCACTACTGTGTTTTCCTCAGTTATGAGGTGAGATGAGAATGATGGGACAGTGTGATTAGGATGTCTTCGATACAACTTCTTTATTTTATTACCGATACCTTTTTTGTGATTGTTGTTGTTTAAACTAATAGCTTTGAGTATTCACAAGTGTATATAATCAAGGCTTATAGTTAGTTTCATTCGTGAGGTGTATGTGTATATGGAAAGCCGAAACATTTCACGCGAAAGAATTCACATCTTGATTCTCGAGTACGACAAGGTAAGGTGAGTTTATACAACAAATAAAACAATGAATAAGGAATAAAAATAGGATAAAATAAGAAAGTTCAACATGGGAATTTCCATGGAACCGTTCATACAGGAAATAAGTTGAGAATTAGAATTGAAATAAAATAGAAGATGACCAACTTTTATCTTTATATTTTATTTTAATCGGAAAATGATAATGCGCATGAACCAAATGAATTCTGTCACAGAATCTCCATAGATCATGAAACATGAAACGTCATTGTCAGCAATGCCGTGATTGGATTGGTTACTTTCTTGATCATTATTGCATTTTAGTCATCTGTATGAACAGTGTGGATTTCATTTTTTATGAAGCATCGTGCGGTAATCCGTGTGTGTCCGTGTGGTGAGGATTATTCCTCCTTTATAAATCTGTTTTGTTTATAAGTTCGCAAGGAACATGATTTTTATTTCCAATAGAGTCACGTAACGTACGTACCCAATAAGATAAGCCAAAGGTCCAGGGTTCAAATCCCGTGCCCTGCCTACTATTTTTTTTCGCAGTGGTTATTTAAAAAAAATACTGTGGAGGCAGCTACTGTTGGGGCCGATAGTGATTCGCTATTTCAACGATGTGTTTTCTCAGGATCGGCTGCGAAATCATTTGTGAGCGAACTACACCGGAAATTTTCACTATAGAGTCTAATTTTCTAACGAAGGAGCCGCCGAAATTAAACCGACCGACAGCAGTGATGCCAAGTTATGCACATTTGTTATTGTTGATTATTGTTAGTGGTATATATACATCATCTATTGAAAAATAACAAATTCCCAATTACTCACCATAAATGTTGAGCCTTGCCGAATGTGTACTCCTTCCAGCTCTGTTCTCTGCATTACACGTGTATTCTCCACCATCTTCCACCATAACATGACTGATGTTCACGTGACTTATGACGTCACCATGGACAGTGACATATTGACCAATAACAAACCTACAAAATAAATCAGCATTATTGCTTGGAGTTTTGAAAGAAATATCGTGGACTTGATACCAGAGCCGGATTTAGAGGTCTGGAGCGTACTATCGGCAATAACGTCTGGAGGCCCTAGGGCAACAAAAGAGGGGAGGCTCCCTGGCTCCTAATTGTTTTCCATGTAAAATTAACAATTTTTTCGGTCAATAATTTTTTGTGAGGCTAACTAAATTATTTTTACATATACAGGGTGCTTCTTAACTACGTGTAAAAAAATAAGACGAAAAGTTTGTATAATCATATTTATCTGAGATACAGAGTGTCGAATTTTGATTGTTATTTCGGTTTTTTGTGAATGAATTCAAAAATGATCGTGAAATTCGGGTGAGATACCAGGAGAAGGAATCAAACTTTGACACTTTGTATCTCAGAATTGAATAACTTGTGGACATATGTTCATACGAACTTTTCTTCTTATTTTGTCGTCAGCAACATGCCCCTGTAATTTTGATACGTACCTACTTGAGAAACACCCAGTAGACATATAGCCAAAACAAGAATTATCTGAAAGACGGTTTTGTCCCATATCGGAGTTCGAATCATATTTTTTATAATTTTCATTTTCGAAAATGAGCGTTCTCCAGTGCAATTTGATGCAATCAGAACCAAATACATTCTCAGTACAATTTCAATGTTCGGGAATTTATTTCTTGACATTTCACCTTCAAGAATGTTCTATTAAAATACCTCCGTAAATATTTTTTTCCATAGTCCTCTTTAACGAGAACGCGGAAACTTATATCCACCCTCTGAGGCTATATACGGACAAGTATTTCCCCACTCCACTCAGTCATTGGGATAGGGATACTCTATCAAGATGGGTAGTAAATGGCAACAACTGCTTATCAGGGCCATTTTAACAAATTTATATTCTCAGATGGGTGTGAACAAATATAATTAAATAATTATTTTTCAATATCTTAGGATATTATTATCATGTTCCTACAAAGTTCTGAGGGTAAAACAACGAACTAAACTTTTTCATTAAAAATATAAAAGGAGAAGTTGTTCCCCGAGTTGTTCACTAGAGAGTTTACCCATCGAAACTCGACAGATTTTTTTCTCTACTGTGGGGGGCCCCTTTTTTGTAGAGGCCCCGGGGCTGTAGTCCTCTCCTAAATCCGGCACTGCTTGTTACTGTTAGTAACTAGGTACCGAAACTTTAAATAGACATAGCTCACTTTTCTGATCGATTTCCGAAGTGTCTTCGTCTAAAGAAACAACGCCTTTCTGGTGACATACCATTATACCTATATCACTTTTTCAATAAACTCGACAATAACTTATCCCGAGACCTACGTAAACTATTTCTCTTGCAATATGAGAGGTCACATGCATTGTTATCTATACTACTTGTATAGGATTCTGTCCAAAAATAGTAGATTGTTTCATTAGGATCAAAAGTGACACTTTGTTTGACAAGCGAATTTTGCATTAGCGAGGCGGAGCGTTTAGCGAAGCCGAGCGAAAGCAAAATTTGCGAGTCGAACAAAGTCACTTTTGATCCGAATGAAACATGGTATTTTTTCTGCAACCGAAACAATTAACTCAAATAAATATGTGAAGTTACCACCAATGCCGTGCCATATGTATGCAATGCAACAAATATTGACAAATAATCCGTGTAGTGAGAACATTCTACCTGCATCAACAGCAGGTTCATTCAATTTTCAAGGATGTTCGAATTGTAGTTTCAATATAAGTACAATCACAGAGTGACATATTTGTGTATGGACCAGGTGCTCTAATAGCAAATACCGCGCCAGTACCAGCTATACGAACAAGACGTGGAAAATGTTAGGTTAATGAGCATATCAACATTCAACAATGATAATGGCGATTATTTACTCCTATCTATAATACAATGTTTTTCGCTTGATAATAAAATGAAGCTAAACAATATCGTTGTTTGAGACAAAAAACTATTGCTTGCCGTGATTATTTAAAAACAAGTTATCCATCCCGAGAATAACGAATGAAATACAGATCAAGCAAGTATTTGAATCTTGAAGGCTTCCCTGATCAAACAAAAATACTTAGCTGAGATGTTCATAATTCCAATACTAAACTATAATAAGGTGTATTTATATCTCCAGCATGGGTATGAAATTCCAAATCTGCTGAAATCGGAAACAAATCAGGTATGCGCCTCAACCCAAATAACCAACCGTATTCTTGATGACGTCCAGTACTTCCTTTTTAGTTCCTAGGAGCTAAAGTTCAACTTTAGCTCCTAGGAACTAAAATTCAACTTTAGCTCCTAGGAACTAAATATGTTGCCTAGCAACCTACCTATTTTTGTGTCAGTAATAGAAACGTCAATTTAAGAGCTAATTAAGGTTATCAAAATGGACGACTTTTGTGTCGGTTGCAGAAAAATGGCATTTATTCGTCTCGTGGGTGATGCCTCGCTCACGAACTCACTCCTCTGGAACACCGTAGACAAGTTGGCGATCTGGCCCTATTTTATAGATTTTTTCATGGACGATGCTCTTCTGAAATATCAACAATAATTGTTCCTCCATTGGCAGTCCCCGCGAGATTAACCCGTCGAGTTGAGGCTTCGCACCCTTTCGTGGTCACTTTGGAGACCTGCAGAACATCTCTTTCCAAAGACTCGTTTATCCAACGAACAGCGAGGCTCTGGAACACATTGCCAAGGGAGGTGTTCCCCGAGGCATATAACCTCCAGAAATTTAAGAAGAATAGCAATTCCTACCTTACTTCCCTTGGTTCTCACGATGTTCTCTGAACATAACAGGATATCCCTTTTCGTTGGAACCAGAACATAAAAAAAATGTATTGAATAGGATCCGAAACTACTGGATCGATTTGTCTGAAAATTGGTGGGGAGGTAGCTTGGAACCAGGAGAAGGTTATAGGATACATTTTATTCCGGTACCATTAGGAAATTCAAGATGGCGGATCTAATGTATCAGACGAGATTTGTAATTATGGTCCGATTCTATTTAAAATTGGTATCTGGGGGTTTTCGGGGTCGGAGATTATAATTCTTTCGTCAGAATTTGAAAATTAGGGCGGAATTTGGAAATTCAAGATGGCGGAACCAATATATGGCAGACGAGTTTTGTAATTATAATCCGATTCTTCTCAAAATTGGTACCTAGGGGTTTTCGTGATCAGGGATTATGATTGAGATTGAGAAATTCAAGATGGCGGATCCGAAATGGCAGATTTTGTAATTAGGATCCAATTTTATTCAAATTTGGTATCTGGTGGTTCTCGGGGTCGGAGATTATGATTCTTTCGTCAAAATTAGGAAATTTAAGATGGCGGACCAGTATTGTAATTATAATCCGACTCTCTTCAAAATTGTTATCTGGGTGTTTTCGGGGTTGGAGATTATGATTTTTTTGTCAAAATTTGGAAAGGGCGGGATTTGTGAATTCGAGACGGTGGAACCAATATACCTGACGAGTTTTGTAATTATATATCGATTCTATTCAAAATTTGTAAGTGGGCGTTTTCGGGATCAAAAATTATGATTCCTTCGTCAAAATTAGGGAATTTAAGATGGTAGATCCAATATTGCGGACGAGTTTTATAATTATGGTCCGATTCTATTCAAAATTTTCATCTGGGGTTTTAGGAGTCGGATATTATAATTCTTTCGTCAAAATTGGGAAATTTAAGTGAACTAAAAAGAAGTTGAGATAAATGGTAGATTGAAAAACTAAAGAAATATGCTTTTATAGATAGCGAAACTAAATAGAAGTAGAAAATGAAATAATAATAGTGTCTTATTGATGAATATTGAACTGAAAAAATATATTATAGAAATAATGTATATAGTAAAACAACGTTTACGAGGTCTACTAGTTTATTATATAATTGGTTATTGGTTGCCGTGTTATATCCAACATATTAATTGATTCTTTATAGGAAGACCACTGTAAGCAAGCATGCCCTGTGACAACTAGGCGGAATCCCATCTAATTTTCTGTGTACATCGTTACACGTATTTCTTCATTAAGACAACATATTGGTAGTTATTGCCAGGCTACAAATTACTTTACATAACCAACTCCAGTTCATTTTGTCTACTGGGGATCGCTGTGGATCGGTGTAGTTGGGAAATTGTTGGGATTCTCGGGTATTTCTTCATTAAATCCTAGAGTGCGATGTGTATTCGTACTATAAAGGGATTCGTTTAGCCAGACATATACATTTCACTAGAAGAGCAGGGAAATAACCTGATTCAACAAACATTTTTCATTGGGACAGTGTGTTCCCTGGGAATGAAATAATAATTAAATAGTTATTTATTATACAAGGCAGAAAAGTTGTAGATTTTAGCTCCAGGTTGTGTTGTCTCCCGACGCGTAGCGGAGGGAGACAAAAAACCGTGAGCTAAAATCTAATATTTTTCCCGTGTATAATACACTATTTTTTTCTGTGACAGAAGGAAGGACGAATCAATATTGAGAAGATATTACATTATTTCGAAATCTAACAGTAGGGACACCTGCGTTTTATAGGCATCTTTATCATTCTTTTGAAGTAATCAAATATCTGATGTCACTTCTGTCAGTTCAATTCTGTGATATGATTTTAAAAAATTGCGAATTCAGTAGTTGTTTAGTAATATACGAAACCGCGAAGTCGAATGGAAGATAAAAGGACTTGCAGTTCTTTCTCGGAGACGGTATTATTGACTCATTTTTCGGAACTATAGCACAACAAAAGCCATTAACAGAGTATATATGTGTGATATATATTCGGGAAAAAAGTACTCACTTTTTTCCCACGGGAAAAAAGTAATTTAAGAAAAGTGACATTTTATAACCTGCCAACAGAAAAGAAATGCCGAACTTTTTTCCCGTCACAGAAAAATAGTTATTTATTATACAAGGGAAAAAAGTAGTAGATTTTAGCTCCAGGTTGTGTTGTCTCCCGACGCGTAGCGGAGGGAGACAAAAAACCGTGAGCTAAAATCT